TGTGCTAGATTTTAAGCTTAAAGAAAAGAATTTCAGCTTAAAAAAAAAAAAAGAAAATGATATAAATTAGAATTTGGTTATATGGCCTGCATTGAGAGATGCATCAATCATTGCCATAAATTCCTCTCAAACTAATAATAATTATTAACATCTAATATAAGTAATAGATATGTATTATATCAATGGTGTGGTTTTTTATATTCTTTTAAATGTCAATTTTTTTAAAAATTTGACATTTAAAAGATTATTAATTTCAAAAAAAGGCTTGAATATAAAATAATAAACAAAAATGCATTTAATAAGGTATTACAGAGGAAATTTTTCATACTAAACATTAACTAGGACATTGTGCAACTTTGTTGTATCATGACAGAATTGAAACAGAGTTGGAAAGAAAAAAGCAATCCCTGAACTTGCTATGTACATAAGAGGCAATCCTTGCCTGACAGGTATGAATAGGCAATCCAAGAACTAAGCAACTGATGGTAATTGCTTTATTCTTGTGTTTTGTTTGTTTTTTGCACACATTTTCTGTTAGGTATTTTTATTTTTGACCCCTAAATTCCATTAGGCATGTTCAATCAGATCAGGGAGCAGAGACATTGTAACTTTTGATCCCACTGCATATCAAAAATAAATTCAAGAAATCCTAGATTTTTCATATAAACAGAACCTTATTACATTTTTTAATTACTCATTGCAATTAATGGAAAATGAAAAAGTTTTATCAAAATCAGCCATCAAATTTTCAGAGTGAACTCAACTCTACCCCCATAGTAATAACTCATAAAAGATGTGCTAGTGACCTTAGGACATTGCCCATAAGTCACATGATATGTAAAATATCACTTTGTTGTGTGTGCTTGTGCTACGACCTTATATACCAAAAACGAAGTCATGGACCCCCCTTTCTTTTTATTACTTTTTGGATTCCTCATTATAATTAATAAAAAATGGCAAAGTTTAATCAAAACCGATTAATCAAATTTTAAGATCGAATACAATTTTGTATGCTAAATAGAAGAGGCTTCACTAACACTCTGCCTCAAGAAGATTTTTGCAGCTGAATTTCCAATCAATGTTTGCACTGAAGCCAGACATTATAATCCTTAGCTGCTGATGAGGATAATATGATCATCTGAAAGTTTTCATGTGAATTAGTTTTTTTTTATGTTCATTTTTGAAAATGTTTGTTCACATAAATAAGTGCTGCTAAAGCAAGAAAGTATGCTGATGGCAAAGTTTTGAACAGTAGAGAAAAACATCCAAAGCCAAAACTTTCATTAAATGCAGTTTCACATCATCATTTGCTTATAAATCAATGATTTTCATTTGTAAATCTTCACTTATCTTTTCTATATCCATTTCATCAGTTTGAAAAAGGCAAATATTGTGCCTGATAGTTTTAAAATCTGCAATCCTTAATAAAAATTCTTTCTAGAGATTCTGAAATATTTACATCTATTTTTCTTTTGGCCATGATCTCTCAAAGAAAAACCATTCGCACATTTGTAGCAAATGGGTTTATTCATTAAACTAACATATTGGAAAATTATTAATTTTAAATTAAATTAAGCTTGCTGGAAAATGTAGTATGTGGAGTGTAATAAGTGGAACATACATAAGTATAGGTAGCCCTCGGTTTACGCCGGCTCAATCTATGCCGATTCACAATAATGCCACTGTGCAATTCGCCATTTCATGGTACAATTCTCCAATTTTCCCTATGATAGACTAATTTTCATTTCAGTGTTAATGTATTTACTGAGCCGCGACATTGTACATTCATCAAAACAAAGATTTTTATTGAATATACAGTGGTGCCTCGTATAACGTACACCTCGAATAACGGATGCTGCGAACAATGGACTTTCTGTTTGGCCGTTACGTGACTCAAGCAACGGACTGGTTGTGAACAACGGACTTTCCGTTCAGCAGTTATGTGAGGTGAACAACGGTCTTTCTGCGAACAAGTGTGAATAATGTTTCCACTCTTTTGCCGTTGCCAATGACAATCTGGTATTTTTATAATATATTACTATTATATCTGAAGTACAGAGCTCCCATTGGGATTCGGCTTGCTCCCTTGTTTATTACGTACATCACCTCAGTGCAGGGTATTTACATTTATTCAAGTGTTGTGCAAATCATGGCTTCTAAAAAAACAGAAAGGTGATTTCAATTGAAACAAAGTAAGACATCATCAGAAGGAGTGAAAGTTGACAAAAACTTCCTTATCAAATGGGGAGAGGTTAAGGAGTTACACTCATTATCCAAACAGAGCTGAGGCCAACAGGATCAATGATCTCTACAATGACACCCTTGCCCGTCATTTCCGACAGGTNAATTCCAGAATTTATTCTAATTGTGATATCACTGTCTTCCTCCGTGACCCATTCACTTCTAAAAATTTGCATAATTGTGTTAAACTACTATAAAGTAGTGCAACATTTGATTGCTAATAACTCTGATCAACACTTTTCGTGAATGCTATAAATTTAAAATAGAGTTTGTATACTATTAACATAGTTATTAATTAAATTTTATTAAAATTTATTAGAAGACACTTCGACAGTTCCCTTGTAAGTATAAACAATATCATCCTAAATCTGCCGTAGAAAGACTATTCCTTCCACGTAAAAATGGTGGACCTGGCCTGATTGAAATAGTTAAACTTCAATACAGGTAGCCCTCGGTTTACACCGATTCACGATAACACCACTGCACAATTTGCTGTTTCGCGGTGTATTTCCCCAATTTTCCCTATGCTAGACTGATTTTCATTTTAGTGTTGACATATTTACCGAGCTGCGACATTGTACATTCATTAAAACAAAGATTTTTGTTGAATATATTTATTTTTTTCTGTTTAATTTAATATTATTGTGTATGTATACATTTACATTAAATTAATATTAAAATACTAAATGTTTAGTTACCCACGAGTCATGTTATCAAACTTAATAGTCCAATAAATGGCATTCGAATCCGTAGCGCCAATGAATGTATCCCATATCCCTTATCAGTTTGTTCAGGAAAACACCTTACAACGCAGTAGCACTTCCTGCGATCACAAACTATCATCAGTGAGACAAATCTACTTCTCATTGGCCAGACGATATCTATCTCTCCTTAATTTTCCCGCTCAAACTGACCTTATATATGCGCTACAGTGACTGGTGGTTGACCAATCAGTGTCTCTGCTCATCTGTAGCTCTACGTCGGGTTAATGTATCCTTTCAACTATGGAAAGTTTGACAGATGAACTTTGTGAGTTAGACAATGATTGGGAGCAAAGTACAAATGTAAAAAGGAGCATCATCGCATCCATTCGATTATATTCCGAAATTCTCAATGAAAGAAAACAAAAATGTAAACAATTAAGGTTGGGTACCTTTTTCGAAAAATGTAAGAGATCCGAAACTAAAAATTTTAAATAAAACATTTCACTTTATTTTATGATAAAATACATTTTAAAAATTAAATTTATTTGTATTTTGTATTATATTGTGTTAATAAACAAAATTATTTGCGTATTTTTCACTTATGTAGAACCTAACCCTATATTTCAGTATAAATATGGGTTCATTTTACGCTGATTCGATTTGTGCCGGCTTTTGTGGGAACGGAACTGCGTCGTAAACCGAGGGCTACCTGTATGTTCTAGCAAATGAGTTCATTTAAAATGAATCTATTTTCTGGAAAAGTGTGAATGGTTTTGTTTTTGGACATTATTTGTTCCAGCTTTAATCCTGGATTTTGGCCACAAGATTCTTGACGTTACTGATTCTATTGCAGTCTTGCATAAGGGCAGGTGACTGAACATATTTGAGATTACTATCTTAAATATATTTTGTTAATAATTTTAATTTCATTTTAAACACTTTAACTTTGATATAAAGTTCTAGTAAATACTTTCTCTTTACCTTGCAGTTTTTTCTTAAGTGTACTGAGCAGATTTATGATATCCACTACTAAAGCTGTCTAACAACCATTCAGGATTAGACAACTCTANAATTTCATTTTAAACACTTTAACTTTGATATAAAGTTCTAGTAAATACTTTCTCTTTACCTTGCAGTTTTTTCTTAAGTGTACTGAGCAGATTTATGATATCCACTACTAAAGCTGTCTAACAACCATTCAGGATTAGACAACTCTACAATATGTTTGTATTTTCTTCCAAAAAGCATGTGATTTCCTTCTAAATGATATGAGTCTGTTTAGTACTTCATCTTGAGTACGCCATTTGACTCCAATTATAAACCAGATCAATCCTAGAACTCTAGTCTTAGGACCACATAAGTTTGTTCTTTGATCTGTTGACTGAAAAAAGCTAAAAAGTGTGACAAGTCTTAATAAATTGACAAAGTTTGCAAGTGAAGTAAATAGGCTAAGAAGATCCATTTGTTGCATGAACAATTTGTTAGAACTTGACTGGAAAAAGCTAAAAAGCTTTGCAGTTTAATTTCATTACACATGATAGTGGTAGTTTTCTCCTTGTATTCAAAAATGTGACTTGACAGAGCAGTGAATTCTTCATAAACATTGAATTATGCATTTACACCAAAATAAATATTAAAAACTGAGCCATGTAAGAGACATTAACACTTTCAATGCATGGCCAATGAAAACCACAGAAAGGAAGAAACTTTATATTTCAATTACTGCTGTAACTCTGCTTCTTCTGTTCATCTTGGACTGTGCAAGCTAAAACGCTGATACGTAGAAATGCTTTTTTAATCAGGAGAAACTTACTTAGCATTGAAATTTGAAATGAATAATCCATAAAAATGAAAATTTTAAGAAATGGGCTGCATTTATACTTTTTTGGTAATTAAGTCACTGAGTGCTATTGAATAACATGAAGCCCATGGGCTTTGAATTGCCTATCCCTGATTTAAATCATTCAAATACTAATTGTTGGATTAAGGAAAATAGTATATTTAACATATTATACTATATTATATTATACTACTTATATTAATATAATTTCTTACTTGGTTCAGTGACTACATCAACAACTGAAACAGTATTTGTAGTAGTATTATCAGCATTTAATCCTTCTTCATTTATTTTTTTTGCTCTTTCAACTACAAAAATAAAAAATAAAAACAAAACTTACAAATTACTACAAATTAACAATAGTTTAAAAAAATGAAGAAAACAGTAAACCTTGATTTGATTATTCTTGTTAAATAAATGAAAATAATTAGTACATGAGCTTAATTAATTACAGATTTTCTTAATTTCATTTGCATCTCTATTAAATTCATGTTGTTATGCTAATTGTACTTGCAGATGAAATCTGCAAGTACAATTAACATAACAACATGAATTTAATTGAATAATTTATTGTTATCTTCAAAATATATTTAAAAAAAAATAAGGAAACCAAAATATAAAAACTTGGAACAGAGTAAGTTAAAAAAAACTTACTTTTAATATTAACTATTTATCTAATAGAATTTCAAACTTAAATTGTTGTATAATTAATTTACAATTTTTTGAAACTTACTAAATATATATACAGTATAAAATTTCATTAGCAATGAATGGAGTAATGCAATTACTGTATTTAAAAGTAAATTAATTTACTCAAAATCTACTATAATGTTACATTTATGATCTAGTTTTGTGGTACTACAATTAACAAATGGCATAATGATTCCAGTTACATGGAAAGTTTGGTCTCTGTGTTATATACAATACTGTGTGTTCTAGTTTTTTTGTTTTTTTGTTTGAAAACTGTTTTGAATAATTGCATTTTGGTTAACAAAATTTCCACTGTATAATGAAATAATAATAATAAAATATACAAAATAAAACTAAGTTAAATAACTAGATACAAAAAATAATTAAATTTTCAAACTTTCAGAGAACTTGAAAACAGTTCTATGTTTAGATGATTGATGATTCAAAATTAAATTAATGTTCAAGTATGTTCTTGTTTTCAAACATCTATTTTAAAGATGCTGTGGGCTCTGCTCATTGGATGATAACCACAAGGACAAATATCTATATATTTGTTAATTTTTTAAATTTTTAATTAAAATACTAATTTTATATCAAATTTAACCTAACTATCTCTCACTTAAGATAAAATCTAGCATCAATCAAATTACTAAGCTTAAAACAAGATCATTGATGACTTCTTGGGATAACATCTGCTGCAGAACAGATTATAAGGGTGTAGCAAAAAGCCAATCACTTTAGAAAGATGCGTTACCAATAATAAATGGATAAAACTGGATATACATTTTCATAGAGGTATTAGGAATGTTCTAGTCCTAACAAATAAACTATATCTTCTACTTACAGTCTACTGATTCTCTAAACTAAACTGTATGAATATGTAATTTCATCTATTGATATTAAGAAAAACAACTATTCCTGCAGACATAACAATTTCTTCAAGACTCCAGCCTGCTTCCAATCTTTCAATTTCCCTCCATATTACATTATTCCAAATAAATGCTCTATAGCATTTTCAGACAGAAAATTAATCTGCTAAATATTTCAGTTACCATAAGTATTGTATTGTCAGTAATATCAGAAATCTCTGCTTTAACTGATTTAAATTTGCATAATTTACATTTTTGTGAGTTTTCCCAGCATTGTAAAATATTTTAACTACATGATTTTAGAGAATTTGTGTGTAAATTATAAAAAATAATATTGATATCTATCTATCTATGTTATATTCTTAACTTTTGAATATAAATATAACTAATATAAAGTAAAAACAAAACAAAAAAATATTAAAAAATAACAGATAATTAAAAAGTTTTCTAGTAAAAGTACACAGATAGAAGCTAATATAATGAAATCATTCAAGCTTCTGAAGTTTGACTGATTTCATTATATTAAGTTTTATCTGTAAGTAATCATTGGAAACATTATAAAGTTGCTAAATTTTAAAGAATTAAAAATATAAGTTTAAGTTTATTTCTAAGTAAAGTAAGTTTTAAAATTAACAGGATGTTAATTTTAAAACTTACTTTACTTAGAAAATTAACAGGATGTTAATTTTCACATATAACATATGAAATGAAAATTTTGTCCATTAAATCCAAAATCCATTAAAATGAGGTTTTATTGTAATATGCACTTTTAAACAACTGTTTACCTAATATAATAGAAGTTGTCGTTACATATCATTCATAAAAAGTTATTACAAGTGATAATAAAAACCTGTCTTATTTATTTAAATGCTGAACATAAAAATAAAAAAAATCTATTCATAGTAAGTAAAAAAAAAAAATAAATAATTCACACACACAGAAATTCAGATAATATACTTATCAAATCTTAGGTATAATTTTTCTATATCACTTTACATAAATCATAATAATGAAAGTTAGATATTACTCACTAGCTCCTGGATATGGTTGACTTGGTTTTCGAGTCTTTCCTATTATATTTTCTACAATTCCAGTTACACTATAATTTTTCTTATCCTTTTTATTTCTCAATGTACCAATACAATGCTCTTCAACAATCTTCACACAATATTTATGAATATTCATCTCACAATCTAAATAAAAAGAAAAAGTTATTAAATGATATTAATCAAAAAACTTTACTAAAGTTTTAAATTTTAAGGAATAATGCTATTAGAAAAACTTCAGTTTTTAAAAAAATTATTAAAACTTATTATATTTTAAACTATATTCAAGTAATATTTTAAAAGAATTTTTAAAAATTTCAAAACTAATAAAGTAAATATCATTTTTGAGTTTATATTATTTAATATAGCATATCATTGTTTAATTTTGAAATATTTACATTTTCTGATGACAAAATATTAAAACATTCAACAATATATTTTGTTTTCTTTTTTCCTTTTCTTTTTAAACTTAATTCTTGTATATAGAAAATAGTTTAAAAATTTTAATTGTTAAATAAAAGTTAAATCTACTTTTATCTCTAGTTAGTTTTAAAAATTTTTATTTTTAATACTTTTTCAAGATTTATACATAACAATAAGTTTCAATGAATACAGTTTATGAAAAATATTTGTTATAAATTTCGACAATTTATAACAAATATTTTTCATAAACTGTAAAATTTAAACAATTCTTGTAAAAAGTATCACTTATTAATAAAAAATTGTTTTAAGTAACTGCATTGGAATTTATATACAAGTGTGAAGGTCCAAAACCCTTTTGTTTTAGAACAGTATCACCCCTCTAATAAACCTCATGATTAGGTGAAAAGGGAAAAAGGCAGTCGATGACCAATATACCTCGAAAAAAAATCGTTAGTATATCAATAAAAAAAAAAATCTCCTCCATTTGTTTAAAGGTAATTCTATAGACGTTAATATCAACAAGATGGGAATAAGAGATGTTTCTTACCCCCTCTTGGGTTGCACGTGACACGTGGTTACAGCAATAAATCACCTCTTTCGTAGTCAAACGCGACGTTTAATATAAACAATATCTAGATTGTTGACCAGTTTATAGAAATTATTGTCAGATAAATGTTAATTTATGGATGAGAGCCGTCAAACCTATAGAAATTTATATTATAAAATCATATCCTCTAGACACTGATATCAATAAATTAAACAAACTTCTCTGTGCCAGTGGTCCGTACTAGCTAGATCCAGATGTCAACACACGAACAGGTGTGCGTATAAATCATTAATGATGTCATAGTTCTCACCCCCTCAAAAATAGTATAAAGAGGGTTTGGACGCAGTCCACAAGGTGGAACCTCCAGGGCGGACATCGACTACCACATCTACTGACCCATACCGTCACCCTATCTGTCGCTACCTTGCCATAACTGCCGTGACAATCCAGGAACATTTTTACCAACAACCCATATTATGGATCGGGAACTTAGAGGTATTTTTTTTGGATATCTATTTGTATACTCTCTCTCTGAGAGGTCTCTCTCTCTTGTCTCTTAATTTAACTTAGAGAATAGAGATTAGATGTTCCATATGAAAGACGAATCATTATCGCGACGTAGAATAGAATTTATGTCACTCTTCACTTTCACCTTTGATATGTACAATTTTATAGTTGGTTATTAATTTAATTAAATGTGTTATTCTTGTTCAACCTGTGTATTTATTTGGGAACCTGTCAATTTACTCATTAACCTCCCCACTCATTTTATTTTGCCTTCCTATAAAGCCATCCTCTGACAGAGCCGCCAGTAAGTGGGGACAACTAACCCCTTCGGTTCTCACACAAGTAAGTTAATGATAAAAAAAATGTTTTAAAATAAATTTCATTCTTTATTACAGTAAAATCTATTCAGACTATAGATTATTGTCTCTAACTAAACAAAATTTCCAGTTAAAATACGGACAAACAATAACTACAAAAGCAGACAAATGCTTTAAAAGTATATTTTATACATTCAGATTTAGTGTATGTCATAATAGAATGAAAAAAATCATATAACTATTAGTTTAGAAATATCTGTAAAAGATTTATATAAATTCAGTTATTGTTCTTTTTAAACTATATATAGATATATTTGTTTGATATTTTTTGCTAAATCAGATATTAATTAATTGAAAATCTGCTCATAATTATTACAGTGAAAACAATTTTTGCTAGTCAATCATGTTAACAGTCATCTTAGTATAACTGGTCCAGAAGCATTAAAATTAACTTTATTGCATGATTCAGAATGAAATTTCTAAGAAAAAAAAAATTGAAAACACTAAAGTTAGTAAATGTTTTGTTTAAACTACATTTTAATATTTACTTTCCTCTAATTTGTCTTGTAAAATGAAGAGGGCTTTTTTATCTGAAAATGCTGACTATGAAACACTACAGTAAGAATTAGTTAACTGTTTATTTATTTACAGATCTTCTAGATCTTGAAAATCATGAATGAACTATAGAAATTTTTCAACTAAAATTTATCTGCTAATAAAATTATCTTCAATAGAATACTAAAAAGAACTGAAAAAGTGATGATGAAAGGCAGTATAAAAAAGTAAGCCATCAATTTCAAAAGTAGAAGTTTACTTTAATAAAATAAAAACATATTTAATTAATTTGGGTCATTCAACAATAATAAACTTTATTTTGATTTAAGTAGTAAATTTCAAGAAGTAAATCCCTAATTAAAATTTCTACAGGCATTTTTATTAGACTGTTTTAAATGAACTAGAATGAATAATTTCACTTTAAAATAAAAAACAAAATTCATCACTTGTATAAGTACTATACATTAAATTTAAATAGGTTAAAATATTACAGGTTGCACTCTCTAGTAAAGAACTTGCTGTATAAAATAATACAATAAATATGATTTAATAATGGCCTATATTGATTTGTACTATTTCAAAATGTTTAATAAACTGAAACTTGTCCTTTTAAATTTAATAAAAAAATTTTTTATCTGTTCTCACAATTAAAAACTCAAACTATATTTAGTGATAAAATTTAAAAATCCAAATTGTGACCTTTTAGAACAGTTTCCACTGTATTACAGTAGAGCCTCGATTATCCGACTCAATTAAGGACTGGGGTTGGTCGGATAATTGAAAAGTCGGATAACCGAAAAGTATAAAAAAATCCATTATTAGTGTAGTATATTATTATATCCCATGTAATTAGTATATTAGTATATCGCTATTAACCTACTTTGCTTTGAATTTTCATTGATGTTAATCCTAACAAACATTTTTTAAAACAATAATCGTCGCTACTGTATCGTTAAAAATTAGAAAATTAAGCCTCGTTTAAATACCGGCTTCCTTTCATAATCGAATGAATGTTGCCAGCTAAAACACGTAAAAATAATATTAAAGTAGCCAAGACATAGCCAAATATTGTAGCGCCACATCACTAGCGGACATTTGAAATTTGCCGACTAGGACGGTCAGTTAATCGGGGGTCGGATAATCGAGGCTCTACTGTATTATTTTTCCAATAATCTTATTACATCCTTGTAAATCTTCATATCCTTATCAGTTTCTTTAAAAAAATTTGTTTTATTTATAAAAGAAATTAATAATTACATGATATTTAATCAAATATATCTGCAAGAAACCGAATCATCACAATAGTAAAGTGAACTGGTATTAGAATGTTCAAAGAGCTCACTTAATCATATGTGTTGGTTTTTCTAAACACTTATTACAAACACTTGTTCTACTTTTATAACATTTATCAAAAAGGTAATTGTTATGAAAATAAAACATAAAAATTAGTAAAGGTGTAAAACATTATGATAATTTTATGCATATATCACTGAATAAAATTTTAATTGTACAAAAATACAAAAAATCTTCCTGGATAATCCAAGACATTGTCACAAAAAAATACAAATTATTCCTTTTCCATAAATTAAGCTTTTTCTTATAATTATATCATATAAATATCATAAAATTTACAATTAATTTCATTTATTGTATGCTCTCTTCAATAAATTATTCATAATATAAAATTAATAGAAAAAATAGCAAACATTACTTTTTTATTCTAATATTGGAATCATCCTTAAATGAATCAAACCCTCTAAATCTCTGAACTATTTGTGTATTTATGAGTTTTTAATGAAAAGATTGCTATAAAGTTCATTAAACTATATCCAATCTTCTCTCAAAAACATATTTTTTAACTATTCAAACACATTTTATTATTGTAAAAAAAAACAAACAAACTCAACAACTGCTTTCTTAAGAATGCCTTATTTTACATATCAAACATCTTCAGCCCTATGAGATCCATTTTCAGATCTCAAAGTTGTTAACATAAAAGATCAAGAAATTCAATGATGTTCTATGATTTAAATTTGAATAAATAATAAAATATCTTTATTTTCCATCAGTAAATTTTAAGAAATTTAAATTAATATTTTTTTGTCTTCCCAATAAAATAAATAAATGTATATATTTTCCTGCAACAAATACAGTTTCTTCATTTTTGCTTGCAACTATCACAATTGTTTTAAAAATTCATTCATTCTTAAAAAAGAGCAATTAGAAAGACAAGATTGTAAGAATGTTAAATTAAGCAAAGTTTTTAATTCATTCAAGTTTATGCATATTTAAATTACAAAATTTTTCTGTAGAACCTGAGAAGGTAAATTGATATGACATGTTAAGGAAATAAAATTTAATAACTTATTTAAATAACAGAAATAAAAATATATTATTCAAAAAAGGCAAAAAACATTAATTTTAAAAAATTAATTAAAAATTACTGTAGAAAGTGGCTAGTTTTTGTATTGAACATACAGGATGCAATAAGAAAGGAATTAAAGCAATTGTATAAAAAAATAGCCAAACAATAAAAAGAAAATTGTAATAAACCAGGACAGGGTCGAAGTAATTATAAAATTATAAAACTAAAAATCAAATCTGATATGATATTTGATGTCATATTAAATGGATAAAATTATTTTTAATATAGAAAAGCAGTATAGTTAAAATATATGATAGTATAAATATATCAAAATATGTGAAACTCAGCACCACAATATTCAATAAACAATAACTGCTTGATTAAAGTTACCAAAATCATTTATTAACAAATGCAAAAAATGTTTTGTAACTTATAATTTTGGTAACCTTAAGCAATATTTATTTACTGCACATAAATATATTTTTATTTAAATAAAAACATATGTATCTATAAAATGTATTTATATACATACTTTGACATTGATATCCCTGATTTCCAATTCCCCAGATAATTAATTGACAATGATTACAGTATGTTACACAATGATAATGCTGAGGAAGGAACTGATGCCCTTGTACAAACACAACCTGAAATTCATTTATATGTAAATAAATATTTATATTTAGTAACTATTAAAATATATTAATACTTATTAAAACAATAATGTAAAATAATTTCTTTAGTAAAAAAATAATTTTATATTTAAAAAAAATTATATTTTATTAAATATTTTGTAGTCTTGTTTTACCTGGGAGTTGTGCCAGCAGATATTGCATAAAACAAAATTCTATGTAAATTTGTGTTCCACCCTGTGTAAGTCTTAAGTTCTTATGCAACCATTTACAATTAACAGGGAAACATTAAAATACACTTAAAATGTTTTATTTATATTTTTATTATAATGAATAAAATTTCAACCTGATATTTCTGAATACACAGAAATATTAAGTAAACTACTTGATAGTTTTGTATATTCCTACATTGAAGAGTATAATAAAATGCCTGATACAGAATTTTAATATATCTTATCAAGTACATCACAAGTGGTACAAAAAAAGCACACACAAACCAGAGTATTTACAACAGTAAGTTGCATTCAGTATTTTTCAATTTAAATTAACAAACAATGCCAGAAAAGCATTGTTTGTTAATTAATTTAATATTCTGATTTAGTATTACTAGGAGTGTTATGCACCAATGGTCTAGTCACTTGGAGGAACATAACAACAGGGAAGCATGCTTCTTTCATTTTAATTTTCTGAATGTAGTTGTGTATGGTATTAAACTAATGTCAAATCTTTCCTTAAATTTCATTATCTGTATTAGACCTTTCCATTTTCATTTTTTCTTGATAATTTTTTTCTCACAGATAAACTATAAAAAATTACTCCTAATTTCTGTAACATTACTTTTATTCCACAATAAATTAAAAACAATCAATGTGTGTGCAGAATTACCCTTGTACCTCATATATCAAAGAATTAACTTAGCCAATTGCCATCTGAGAAAAACACAAATCTGCATACACCAATCCTGTGTAAAACAAAAAAAATCAATCCTGCATATTGTATTAGAAAAAAAAAACTATTTTATTTCCTATATAGTATTACAAACATTTCTGAATAAATCAGTGAAGAGAGAAAATCCATCTGAATAAACATTTTTATTTATATTACATTTGGCTGGTCAACCCAACCATCAAAATATTTTCTTCAACCACTTAAAAAATCCAATAGTTTTATTTCATAATTTTTACTGACTGTTATTGTATGCATATAGTTTTGTCATCAATTAAAGAAATTTGCAATATCAGCCAACTAACATTGCAAATCAATTAATAAAAATTTTATCTGGAGAGAACACTATTATTACTAAAAAGCAAATTGATAAAAAGAACAGATATTTCTATTTACAGCTGATGATGATGATATAAAAGAACAAAAACATTACTGAATAAAGTTCATTTTGATTTCAAGAATTAAGCATTTTTCTTCATCTATTTCTGTTTACATTTAATAAATCAAATACTAAGGTAATAGTTTTCAATTGGTGTTCCACTTCTCATAGGATGCCACAAAATTTAAAAAAATAATTAAAAAATACTAATTGTTTATCTCAATAAAAATGCTTCATAGGCATTAATACAATTAAAATAGCAAATGTGCAAAAACAAGCTATACTTTAACTGTTTTTTAGTTCAATCTTTCCATCAGGAAAATGGCTTCTATCACATATGACTGTGTAAAAATCAAACATTGCTGCTAGAGATTACAAAAATCTCAAAATTAATATGCAATATAAAAAATGAAAAAAATTGTGCATTAATTTTAAAATTTTGTAATCACAGGCACAATGTTTGATTTCTATACAATCATATTTGATAGAAGAATAATGATGATGATATACTTGAGAGCACTAAAAGTTCTGCTTAGTTTTCATTGTTTGCTATTTTAATTATTTGTATTACAAGAAGCATCCAAAAATAATTTCAATTATTTGTATTAAAAGGGCATACTGAAACTCTCAATAAGCAAAAAACTTGACCACAATGCATTCTGATTTATTTTTGCACAGACATTTTTATTACATTGTGTCATATCTGCATTAATAAATATTCATAGTATGTTGTGATACTTTCACATTGTCAGTAACATTTTGGTTGATTATTAAAAGAATATCAACACAAATTTTGCTTTGTGGTCTTACTGAATGTGCAAAAATGCATTATGTGAATTTTTCAAAATGCCACAACACGAAATTTGCATTTTGGCTGGATATAAAAAGTATCTTTGAACAAATATATATATATAATTTAAAATCTTTACAATATTATCAATTCCATTTTTATATTTCCAAGAAATGCTATACTTGACAATGTAGAAAAAGTTCTTAAGCATATATTTGTGTATTTTATCAATAAAATTTATAAAACTTAACAAAAAATTTCATTTTTAATTTAAAGATTTTTCTATTTATATTGAACAAAAGTGTACTCAGCAAAATGAACAAATCAAGTAACTAACACATTATTCATTGCTGAGGGAGTTTATTGTAAACAATTTTCTATTTATACTTATTTATAATATATTCTGTAATTTTTATAAAACTTATTAATCAAAAAATAGATGATTTAAAAATATTAACTATATTCAAATAATATCCAATTTTATTTCATTGTGACTTTTCCTAAACCTATCACTTTACAATAAGTTTCAGAAAATTATACAATTCTCTTCACATATTTTATGAATAAGTTTAATTCATTTTCTTAATTAAATACATACATTCTTTACTGACTGATATTATACTATTGATGAATAAAATCCATAAATAACTTAAAATTACAAAATCTTTGGAAAAAATTATTTTTAAAATACAGTAAAACCTGTATAAACTGGAATCACATCACACTGAATTATTTTCTGTTTCGGCAGGCTTCCATTTTGAACAAATTTCAGTATTTTTTTCTTTTTCTTTTAATCTTTAAACTATATCAGATAAATGTCACACAGTTATGTTCATTTACATAGTAAAATTACTTTTGCTGCATATGTAAGAAAACTTTTATTACTAGGTATAATCCAAATTAATCTAAAGTAATTCAAACTAAAGTTGAGAATATTTGGATGCAAAAATTGAAAACTATTCAATTCTGAAAAGTTCTTGTTGTGGAGAATTTCTTCTAAGTATTGAATACTTCTCAGATGTGATCCTTAGGAGTGCATATTTTAGCAAACAAGCCAATTCCAAGTACAGTAGAGCCTCGAAAACTCGGCCTAATGTGGACCGAAGGGTGGCCGAGTTTGTGAAAATGCCGGGTTATCGGGAATGGGGTTAAAAAAGGATAAGTATGCGTGTTTCCTCAGAAAATATTGTACTGTACTTGTATGTATTGTTTGCTTGAGAATACAACAGAGAATAAACTGCCCAAATACCCTTAAACAAAGGAAAAGTACGTCCTTTATGAAGGCATAGAGCCTTTACTACATGAAAATGAAAATTAATGAATACACTGTGTACAGTAATTTACCTGATAAGACAGACCTCAGAAAAATACTTTATGAGGCATAAAGCTGTCTATGATGAAAATTAATTATCTAAGGGTATTTTTGCCCTGCCAAGGTATGGCCGAGTTATCCGGAGTGCCGGGTTATCGAGTGCCGAGTTTTCGAGGCTCTACTGTATCAAGAACTAGTACAGAACAGGAATTCTAACCACATTACAGTAATACAGAGATCAAGTTATTCTGTGATCTGATTTCTAAAAAAATTTTATTACTATAATTAATCATTAACTTCAATCTCTAATTATCAACAATGTTAATTAGCTTATTCTCAAATATAGTGTACTTGGTACTACTTATTTATTAACTAGTCAGTGTAAAGCAAATTGGCATCACTGTATTATATTATTTTCAATAAATTACATTAGTTTCTTGGTCTCTAGAACTCTTAAGAATCAAATGAATTTTCAGTTCTTGAAAATTCATTTGATTCTTAAGAGTATTCAATTCTAACCCTGGTTAATTTAAAAACTAATATTAACAAAGACCTTGTGTGTTCATATATCCTCTTATTATGTTACTTTTTCTCTGAAGAAGTTAAAAATTATTCTTGGAATACAGTTTGCTATACCTGAAGCAATTTTACTTATCTGTGTACAAATGGAATCTTAAATTTTTCTTTATTCAGGTTAAGATACATTCTTCATATCAAAAACCTCTTCCATTTCTGCATCAGATAGGTTTCTAGCTTATAGTAAAATTTAATGTAGAAAAATTTTCCCATTCCAAAGTTTTTTCTGTTTAGATAAGTTTCAGTTTTATTCAGTTTTCATTTTAGTCAGGTTTTACTGTATTAAAATACCACTTAAATAAATTACTTAATGAATACAACTAATTCTGTAATAATGTGTAAATAATTAAAAGTTATACCTTTTTGTTTCTTTGCAAAATACGAAGTCTACCTTTTTCTTTAGAAACAAAAGTTGGGCACCTATCAGTTACATTCAAAACATGAGTACTTTTGCTCCCATATTGCTTTAAAATAGTAGCTACAGCAGAAGCTGTTGCTAAAGTTTTATCACTTGCACTTTCAAGATCTTCTCTAAAAATATAAAATAATTTTGTTGAAAATTATATATTATATTAGAATTTGTCAACTATAAACTAATTATATTAATTTTTGTTGCTTGTATTAATGTGAAAAGATGTAAGTATTAACTTACACTTAACAAATTTATTTTTACATAACAAAAGTATTTCAGTTTAAATATAATTATTAACCATAAGTTTTAAATATAATTAATAATTATATTTAGAACTTATGACTTTGCTTAAATATAAATTTCAATGTCTTTAATTATTACAAATTTCAGGTGAATGTTAAATCCAATCTAACTTATTAATACTATCTTCTCTATATTTCATAAACTAATTTGTACAGCAACTTTAAAAAATTAATATTTAAAAATATCTTACAATCATATTATTAGTTTCATATGTTAATTTACTAATTTTAATGTAACTTTCTTAATAATTATGAACTAATATCTTCTGTTACAAGGCTATAGTTCCCATCAAGTTTCCACTACAATTCTCATTTCAAAGTAAACTTTATATCTTTTGGCAGTTATACAATCACCAACAGATAAGGTTTCACGAGAAAAACATTTCTCTTCCTCCCAATGATTGTCTTTTGCAATTGGAATTAGAAATCATCAAATATAAAGTGCAAACTGCAGGATATACTATAGTGAGAATGTTTTTAATACAGCATAATTTTCTATATTGCATCTATCTCCAATTGAAACCTGAAAAGTGTTTTCTAACTTTACTTTTCAGTATGTTAGTGTTAAAACTAACTCTTTGCTATATTTAAAAAAAACTATCTCACAGTTTGTCCGATTGTAACTTACCATCATTAAGAAAAATCTTGAACACATATAGAGACCCTTTAAATAAACTGGAGCTATCAAGAGTATGAATATTTCATTAACATGCAACAACAGATATTCATCATATTGGCACTACAGCTTAAGAATTATAATAAAATGAAAAATTGCAAAACAAAGATTTGGTCCACAGAAGATCTACTGCAAAGTTGATGCCTTTGTTTGGCCAATGATTACATCATTTGCTGAGATTGGATAGAGTTCCCAAAAGTTACAGATAATCCAGTAAACTGTATCTTCATGAAACTATAAAGATAATAAGCTCAGCTACTATCCATCAGCAAACTCCAATCTTAACAGCATATTAAATGTGTGCCTAAAGGTTTTTGAAATAAATTTTGCCAACATCCAAATATTGTGTAAAATAAAATAACATCTGAATTTTTGTAACAATTATTTATTACNCAGGGCTCTTTATACTGTGGTAGTTGTTGAGGTTTGGTAAAATCTTCCATTGATTAGTTTCCTAACAAACAGACAATCAAAAGATTTCTTACAGAATCATAATGGATAGGTTTTATTGAACACACATATAAGAAGCAATTACATATTAAAAAAGTTTTATTGAGCTGCAATTTTAAAAAAATTGTAAACCTATAAACTCCACATGTCTTTCCTTAATCTTGAGAATGGAATTAGATGAAATCCGAGACCAGATATGGAAACCTTGGGGGCAGGAGCCCCTGGCTGACTATATATGAACTTTCAGTTGGCACTGGAAGTCATGTTATTTCAATTCAAAAATTTTCCCTTGAAAGCATTTAATAGATGATTGGCACAACTCTGTTGTTAAAGGAAAAGTATGATGTACAGGGGCAAGACTCTACTAATTTGAGGTGGAGAGCATATATTTTAAATGATATAAATTAAAAATATCATTAAAAATTGCAGCCCGGCATTGTGACAATATCATAACAAATAATCGCTAATTTGTTATTGTTATTATTATTTTATAATATCTACTTTTCTAATCTCTAACTTATATTGATTTTGATTATTAAATTTTTAGTATCAAATTTTTTTCTCTCAAAATACAATAATGACTTTTTCAAGAACATTACATTAATGAGTACATTCATCATCATAATTGTCATATTTACAAAGAATATCTAATTGTTACAAATTCTAAAAATTAATTGTACCTTAAAAATTTTTTTATGCTTTAAAAGAGCAAATATTATCTTACAAACTTGCAAATGCTTTTGCGCTTATATTCAACTTCAGTGTTCATCAAGTTGATTTGAATACTAAAACTACAGCAGTTGCCATAGTAACCAATTGTAGTAACCATCAATTATATAATTTACAAATATGTCACAATTGAATTGTGACATATTTGTAAATTATATAATTGGTGGTTATAAAATAAGTATCTGAGTGGTTATAAAATAAGTATCTCTATTTGGAGCTGTCAGTAGCTTCATAGAATAACCCAAATGAAACCAAAATTGATACATGCACTATTTAAGAAAGGGGAAAAATGAAACAAGAAAAAAAATAGTTTAAAAAATGTATAATACAATAAAAAAGAATTAAGGTGCAAAAACTGATGACATACCAATATTTTTCGAAAAATGTCACAGTTAATGTGGTTATGCAGTCTGATAGCATTGACAATTCAGTTCAGATTCTACAATATTTTTTCCTTTGTTCCATTCTTCTTCTCCCTCCTTAAATAGTACATGTATCAATTTTAGTTTCATTTGGGTTATTCTATTAAGCTACCGACAGCTCCAAATAGAGATACTTATTTTATAACCACCTGATACATAGAAATTAATTTAAGAATTATCATAGCATAAAAATTATTTTCAACATAAATTACTATTCAAAGAAGAAATTTCTATTCAAAAGTTTTTAACTTTACTAATGAGCAATTTCCAAGACAAAATCATTGTTTGTCTTTAATGATAATTATGTTATGTCTCAAGTTTCTACCGTATTTTATTATGCCTCTACTTTCTAATATTTAAGTTCCACCAACAAATTTTCATTTGAATCTAATTACTTATACAGAAAGTACACTTAACATTGCATTGGATAAGGGAGCAGTACATTTAAGAGAGCACTCTCCCATGTTCCCAATTTTTGCCCGTAAATTTTACATTAGCAGAACTCCTGTTGACAGAGCACTGGATAATAGAGCAGTCCATTTAAGTATGTGTTGTTTCAGTGCCATTTCTGAGGTTCCAGATTGGGTCTGAACCCAGAAAATGTACATAAAAATTAAAAGAATGTGAAAGTAATAGATTAATAGCAAAAGAGTGTATAGAATAAACAGTGTCACAATGAGAAGAAAATACCACCAGTAAAAGAAAAGAAATATATATTGTAAACACACACAGAAGAATTAAAAAGTGATATAAATTGCAAGTGCGACACATGTGCAGACAATGAGACATTATAAATGTTCACTCAGGAGAATAAACCCTGACACAGGCAGTCATAAATATGACAAATTGATAAAATAGAATGAACGTTAGATACATAAATTTTAGATTTATGGAGAGGAGAGGATCATAATGTTACCATTAGGATTCTTAATTGTCATAGTATCAAAACATAATTGCTTAAAATACAAGAAAAAGGGATAAAGTTCAATAAACAATTCTTAGAGAGGGTCAAAATAAGATATCAAATTGTATGCGAACGGTCAACCTTTCTTGTACCTTAATCTAAGTTTGGTTGTTTAGTTACACCAAAAAGCAGAAGGATGACCAATTAAGAAGTGAGGGACAAAGACATAACCCAATCTGATTTCTTCTGCTAAAATCCTATATACACAGCAGAATCAAGAACACTGGTTTTTTCCCCACTGAGTGTCCACATATATATTTTCTCCATCTGCCTTGCTTAAGTATCAGTGTGTGCTCTGTGTGTCTGAACTTTGTTTCTGAATGTATTGATATGTTAGCCTAATCTCTACCGACCCAAACCAAGGATTGTTTCCAGCTCTTCAATTTGACTTAACCTTCTAGATCTACTCTGCTCCAGGACATCTACTTCGTCAAAGGGCATGTCGAGGAACAGACAATCTTACACAGCTAGACTTAAATACAGTTAGAATTGATTTAGAGGAATTTTTGTAAGCTCTGTTTAAATGTTCTAATAAACAGATTAAACTTTGGAAGGAGACTCATTTCCATGTCCACTCTCCTACAGACTTACCATCACCACACATTTTTGCAACAGCAATCCACATAAGAAAACACTATTCTAAGAAAGATTTATAAAGGTCTATCTTTAATGTTACATTAAATCACTGCCCGTGTAGCAGGGCTCTCTATACTGTGGTAGTTGTTGAGGTTTGGTAAAATCTTCCATTGATTAGTTTCCTAACAAACAGACAATCAAAAGATTTCTTACAGAATCATAATGGATAGGTTTTATTGAACACACATATAAGAAGCAATTACATATTAAAAAAGTTTTATTGAGCTGCAATTTTAAAAAAATTGTAAACCTATAAACTCCACATGTCTTTCCTTAATCTTGAGAATGGAATTAGATGAAATCCGAGACCAGATATGGAAACCTTGGGGGCAGGAGCCCCTGGCTGACTATATATGAACTTTCAGTTGGCACTGGAAGTCATGTTATTTCAATTCAAAAATTTTCCCTTGAAAGCATTTAATAGATGATTGGCACAACTCTGTTGTTAAAGGAAAAGTATGATGTACAGGGGCAAGACTCTACTAATTTGAGGTGGAGAGCATATATTTTAAATGATATAAATTAAAAATATCATTAAAAATTGCAGCCCGGCATTGTGACAATATCATAACAAATAATCGCTAATAATATATATATGAACAAACAGCATAAATCATGTTTATGTCCTCATCTTGAGGACATACACATGATTTGAGGGGACAAGGTAACAAGTATTTTTATAATGCACATTTCATTAGAGCATTCAGAAATTTTGGAGCAAGGATGTTCACATCTTTTCAGCTATGCCTCCTATATCATTGTAGATTGTACTCCTATAGATTGTACATATTATATTGATTTCATTCTTATATCATCAATTTTATTGTACTAATAGAACAATAAAATTGATGATATAAGAACAAAATCAATATAATATGTACAATAAAATTATGTAATGATGAATTTTAGCATTTCTAAGTGTGTTATACGGGGGCTATTTTTTAAATAAGGTATGTTTGTGAATGAGAGTGAGAATGACGCGCGATTGCAGCAGTGTGCGTGAGCATCTGCTTTCAGCATGCTTTGCGCGTGTTTAGATGCCATTTGCAGCTGTATTGTCTGTCTGTGTGCTGAACTGTAAAAGTTTATAATGTTTAAGAAAACTGAGTCGCTTGCCAACTGTAAGATAGGATCTGTTATTCAATTTCAGCACGAAAGATTACCATGAAACCAAGAAAAAAAGTTACCATGGTAACTGTCTTTTGGGACAGGAAAGGTACTTTGTTAGTGGATTTTATGCCAAGAGGCACAACAATCAATTCTGATGCTTATTGTGTGACCTTAGAAAACTCCGCTGTGCCATACAAGACAAGCAGCGTGGAATAATGTCTTCTGGCAGCAGGAGGCAGATTTCTTTGAAGTCGGAATTTTAAAAATTTTTGAGCAGTATGACAAATGTTTGAACAAAAATGGAAATTATGTAGAAAGTAGATAAAAGTATGTAGAATATGGAAAAAAATATATTTTAATGATATTTACAGTATTTTTCTTCTTATTAAAAAACGGACCTTATTTAAAAAATAGCCCTCATAAGTTATCAGTTCCTAAGACATAAAAAAATAAAATCAAATATTATAAACAACTCCCTGAGTAATTTTATTATTTTAGATAAGGGAGCAGTCTAGATAAAGAAGTATGACTCAACAATCCAAGGATGCTCTTTTAAGCAGATTCAAATGTATTATTTTATAAACTTTTATTAGTCAAGTACAATGAACCAATAAAAAATATTAATCATCACGTGTATGACTTCATAACTGACAATTAAAGTTAAAATGTAATTTACATCTGATATTAAGCTTTTCTAATCACAATAACAACATTCAGTTTCCATCCTATAAAAATTAATCCTATAAATAATAATAATATTCACAATACTAAATATTTTAAATCCATGGTATGTAAAGAAAATGAAAATTTTGTTGCTTCTAATTTTTATACACTGTAATAATATCATACTTACGGAATGCTTTCAACTGTTGGTAATAATAGTTGCTCAATGATTTTCAATTCTTTACTTTTGTCATGCAAAGCTAGTTCTAATTGGCAGTCTGGAGGACCATATATATTTCCTAAACCTTTTAAACAAAAAAACATGCATTTTTTAAATATAAATTAAACTGCATTAAAAATAATTAAATTATAAAAGTCAATGAATTAAACAAATTATTGAAGTACAGTGGAACCTCGGTATACGACCTTAATCCGTTCCTGATGTTTGGACTTATACCGAATTGGACGTATACCAAACAAACCTTTCCCATAAGAAGTAATGTAAAAATAATTAATCCGTTCTCATGTGAAAAAAAAATGGCTAACTTTAACACCTCACTTTCCTGGCTAGTTCCTGCTTGATTTTTCATGAGATCAGCATGTATCTTTTTAGCTTTCTCGCAAATAATTGCTTCTGATAGGATGTCGCCAGCACACTGTCTTTCAGTTATCCAAGCAAAAGCAATTTCTCAACATGTCTTCAATCTCTGTTTAGAACTTGATTTAACCCCTTTCACAACATTAGCAGATTTAATAATGTCTTTATTTTTCGCAATTGTCGATATCATCATTCTCGGAATACGGCATGCAACAGTTAAAATCTCGAACACACATGCCACCTTCATATTTCTCAACAATCTCTTTTTTCAGTTCCATTGTGATTCTAGTCATTTTTTAGTTTTCTGTTGCTTTTCATTTGCCTTTTTGCAATTCATGATCAATAAAAATAATAAAATTTTACTTACAAATTAAAATTAGAAAAAATTTAACAAAGTTATAAACCGTGGCAGCGCGAACGTTTAGTCTGGTCTAGTACACTGATAGTGCTACTTGTTCATAGATGGCGTGTATAATTGAATTAAGTTGTATACCGAACAAAAGTCGTATACCGAGCAAAATTTGTTTTGTCCAAACAGAACGTATTCCAAATTTGACGTATTCTAAAGCAGACGTATACCGAGGTACCACTGTATTTTGAAAAAACAAAATTATTAATATAATACTAAATGATCTGCCAGATTTGCCATTATATATGGTAGGATCCAAAGTTTGAGGAGATGGCACATAGTTCCTTGAATAGTTTAAAACACCAATGCACTACTATTTTCAAAAGAATCCCCTTGGGCAATAATACACTTTTGCCAGCAGTCATACAGCTTCTGGAAGGATAGCTGTAAGCCATCCATCCATAATGCTCTTGCAATGCTGGCATTGCAAGAGCATTGCAAGAGCATTGCATTGCAAGAGCATTGCATTGCAAGAGCATTGCAAGAGCATTATGGATGGTTTGCAACCATCCATAATGCTCTTGCAATGCTGCTTTTACCTCATTTGATGACTCAAAACAACATCCCTGTAGATGTTGTTTCAGAGTGGAAATAAATAAAAATCACAAGTGGTTAAGTCGGATAAATAAGTGAAATGTGGAAGCACATTAGTACCATTTCTAGCAAGAAACTCTGTGACTGTTATGGATAGATGTGCATGGATATAGTCATGTAGAAGATACCACTGTCCACTTTGCCATATCTCACACTGTTTATGATAGATAGACTTATATAAATGTCATATACATGCTGGACAAAAATATCCAGATATGTGGCAAAATGGGCAATGGTATCTTCTACATTGTCATGTAGAAGATACCATTCCCCATTGTCACAGAATTTCTCCCAAAATGATACTAATGTGTTTACTTATTCCACTTATTCACCCAACTTAGCTCCTTGTGATTTTTAACTTTTTCCACTGATGAAATGTCATCTACAGGGTTGTCATTTTGAGTCATCAAATGAGATAAAAGCAGCATCAAAAAAGACACTATGGCTAACTGCAAAAGATGGCTTACAGCAATGCTTCCAGAAGCTCCACTAGCAAAAGTATATTGTCATCCAAGGGAAATCTTTTAAAGGTAGTTTTATGTTAATATTTTAAACTATTCAAGGCAAGGAATTCAAAATCCCCAAACTGTTAGATCTTACTATATATATTTTATAATATATGGCAGAAATGGAAATCCTGCAGTCTTCAGGTCATATACAGATTTTGTGGCTTCTAAGTGCAGCCTGATAAAATATAAAATTCATGACAGCAAAATTAAATTTATTTGTTATAAATATGTTTGCTTTTATCTTTTTCAATAAAGATAGCTAAGTAAAATTTTTATTTCTTTTAAAGCAACACAACAAATGGGTGATCTATCAAGGGGTACCTCCTGAGAGAATTTCTATGGAAAATCGGACCCTGTTTAGATATTAGACATGTGGAAAAAAAACCCAGAAAATGTTATGTAATTAGACTGTCAATGACATGACAAATTACTAATATTTAATGGTTTTATCTACTTGAACACCATGGGTACCCAAGTACAATTTATTTATATTATTGGTGCATGTGTAGTAAAGGTATATATATATACATATATATTAGGAGTTCTTTCTGAAATAAGATATGACCTTCCTAATAAGGCAATTGCCAATCTCCTCTGCAATATGGTAAAAACATTTTAAACTATTAATCAAAACTTTTAATTTACAATAAAAGTAAGTATTTTCACATGCTTGATTTATTTTTTGATTAAATTCAAAAATTATTTTAGTACTAAACAATGTTAATTATTTAATATGTTTTAATTTTTTTCACTTAAACGATATAAAATTCTTACATCAATAAAATTTAATAGTTTATTGAATTTCATAAAAAACTGGCAGGTAAGCCTGGCATTACTTGGGCAATAAACAACAGCAAAGATTAAGATCATTAATTATTTCAGACTTCTATCTCTTCTATTATTTGATAGTATTTGATTTATATTTACAAAGGTTATCGTACATAAGAGTTTATCACACCAAATGCCCAATCTAACACATTTTAAAAATTCTTTAAATTGTGTACAGTAGAAGAATAAAGAATTTTTAAAATGTGTTAGATTGGTCATTTGGTGTGATAAACCCTTACATAAGATAAACCTTCATAGTTATATAAATCAAATACTATACTTTAACAAACATTAAAATGAAAACCATATGAAGAGTTTGATTATTTGAACCTATCATCATCATGTTTATTGCAATACTCAGATGGTATAAAATGGCACAATTTCATTGGTCAAGTAAACACCAATTAAAAATATATCTTAATTTTTTTTCAGATATCATATTTTTCTAATGTTAGCTTTAACAAACTGTTCCATTCACAGCCTAATATCAAATAATAATCTGCCAATGAATCAAATTTTGCAAAAATAGACCAAATATTTAAACTTGGCACCCTCAAAAACCACTTAAAACATATTTTTTGCTCACTGGTAACTTTGTATTATGTAATTTTCTTATTTTCCAATAGAAAGAAGGGACTGTTGCAAAAAGGGGTGAAGTAATTCAACCAAAAGACTAGTCATTGATCTCCTCCAGGGAGAAAGGATAGTCAATGACTACTAATGAATACTAATTAATCAAGTATTACTACAGTAGGTGATCAGTTTGGACTGAGAACAATTGGACAATGAATACTTTCACAAAAGATTTTTATGTTTGGACAACAAAAATCTCACAGAACAAATACAAGAAGAAGCGATGCTGCATTTAAGATTTATAAAACTGTATTTTACTGGAAATGTTTTATGGAACAAGACTTTCACAGTTGTGTATATGTTACTGTGAAAGACCAATATCTGGCAAATGTCAAGATTCTCCAGTTAATGTCAGCATTCATGCAGTCGTTTCGTGTATGTATGAAATATTTGCTAAATATCATTATTTCTCACTTACATCAGCAAATGTCAACATTCGGCATGCACTGATAGTAAATGTTGAATAAAAATATTTTTATTACATTGAGACAAAAATGCAACTTTTTAATATGTCAAAATAGGAGAAAGCTTAAGTAACAGCACATATAAATAAACTGTTGAACCTAAAATGAACAGTACATTCTTAATCAGAAAAGAAAAATAATACGCAATAGTAAACTTATACATATATTATGTAATTAACATTATATAATCTTATTTATTGCAACAACTTAAACTGTTATGATGCTTTGAATTTCACAAGAGTCCCTTGCTTTTACAACTGCATTTATTCGTGGAACACTTCTCTTTGCAATGGTTAAAAGCAAGGGACTCTTGTCCCTTGCTTTTACAACTGCATTTATTCGTGGAACACTTCTTTTTGCAATGACAGCGTGTATAGCCTTGCCCTCCTTTGGATTACAGACGATTAAAATGTTTTGACGTTTTAATCGTCTGTAATCCAAAGGTGTGCTGCACTTAGTTTTAGCAGAAATCACTTCAGAAAGTATTTTAGAGTACTTTTCTTGAGAAAAATAAAAACAATTGTCTTCTCGTTTACTTGCAATTAATACATGTAACTTTTCAAAAAAGTTCTTGGTTCACTGCAGTATCCATTCAATATAAATTAGGGTATCGGATAAAAAAATAAAATTTAAGAAAACATTGCATGCACCAGCAAATCTTATATAAGACTGACAAATAGCAATGCTCCAGAGTATAACAAATAGATACCATGTGATTTCAATCGCAGCAGAACAAAGGATTTGCCGACAGACTGTTGCCTTTCTGTCAACATCGGCTTCTCGGGTATCGTTTCGACCTCCACCAAAGCTTGTCTGTGCTTGTTGACATACACCGGCGATTGTTCAAATGTATAATAATATAACCAAATATTCGGTCTTTCACCGATGTATTTTGTATGTGTCGACATTCACCAGAGAATATCAACATTTTCTAATTTCAGTCTTCATGGTAACATATGTAACTTTTTTTGAACTACTTGATTTCTATTGTCTGAATTTTTTAAATGCTTTTCTGAACTTTTTATTTAAAAAACTGATAATATTCTGGGGCTTAAAAAAAGTAAAGTGTCAAGAACTGTGTTCCCTAAAAAAACTATGCAAGAGATAATAACCAAGATAGAGAATGGAAAGATGTCTGATGTTGCTAGACAGTATGGCTTCAACAGGTCTACAGTAGATACAATCTTAGCAAAGAAAGATATAATCAAAAAGACTTAAGCAGATAAAGAAGTAATGAAAATTACATCTGAGAAACAAAGATATGTCATCTATATAAAAATGAAGAGATTGCTTATAGTTTGTTATTACATATAAATAAACATAGCAAGAAATTATATAATTTTTTATTTATTTTTTGGGGACTCCAGAATGAATTAATAAAATTCCCATAAAATCTATGGTAAATCGTTAATCAGTTAATGACCAATTCAGGTAGTGAACATTGTCTTTGAACGGATTATGTTTGTTAACTGATCACCTGTTGTATTTGAAAAGTGATCCATGTTGGATAGGTTGTCATGATCTAATGTGATAATGTTGCTAACCTTACCGTCCGAAAAACTTCAAATAAAACTTGTTTAAATAAAAAAGGCTTGTAAAAAATGCTAGAATAATTCCTTCTATGTGATAATAAAGTGCTTAAATTTTGGCAACAGATTGTATAAACTACATGAAAAGTATGTTCTACTAAATATTGCATTTATAGAAAAACTTTTGGGCTGCAATTTAAAGAAATTGTAGACCTATAAATTCCAACTGTCATCCTGTGTGTATGTCTGCCTGTCCTACCTTAATCTTGAGAAAAAAATTAAATGAAAGTCAAGACCAGATGTGGAAAGCTTAGAGGCAGGAGACCCTGATTAACTACTGTATATATGAACTTCCGGTTTGGAACAGAAGTCATATTACTTCAATTCAAAATTTTCCCCTGAAATAAGTCAGATAGATGACTGACGTGACTCTATTGTTAATAGGAAAAGTATGATATATAGGGGTGACTTTTCACAAGGTAACACTCCATTCTATGCAGCCAAGTGCTTTATGCTACCTGTCAGAGTAATAATATAGTGCATCTATTTCACACTATATCAATTAAGTGAATATAATATACATATTTAAAATTATATCATTTTTTATAAAAATTATATTTAGTTTACTATTTTGTTAAATTTTTTGCCAATAAATGGCACTATGTGTAAATCAACAAATCAGATGTAGACAGAAATTAATTAAACTTGCAAAAATCTAATAGATATTTTGGGGTGGAATGAACAACATTACCTAAGAAGTATTTAAACGTAACTTCTGAGTTTCATAGCAATTGAAATAGTCATATGATCTAGGAGTGTATAGCAAAAACAAACATCCTCATTTATATATATAGATGTTTTTACAGCATAAAAAAAATGTTTAAAGCATAACATGCTTTAAGCAAATTATTCACGGTGTCCCTAATTTATGAATTTTGGAGAGAACAAATCATTGGTATACCAAAAACAAGAAATCAGGAAGATCAGCAACATTTGCAATGAGTACAAGAGCACTTATCTCTAATTAATGCACTTATCTCTATTGTAATTAATAGTCACAAGTAACCATATAAATTTTTTTATTAATTGAATATTATGACAGTAAAATTTTATTATATTACATGAGAAACTGCAATCAAGAATAAATACATCTTTGAAACTGATTGCAATTAAGATTATTATTAAACGTTAATAATTATATTGAAAATATCAGAATTAGGATTATACTGCTTTCATTATTTAATGAGTTTTGAATTTACACTATCCAGAGTGTCTACTAGTACATAATCATCTGTTGATAACAAACAAATAAATAATAAGATATAATTTCATCAACAATTCAAATTAATGTTATATCAATATTATAAAAGTGAATTATAATTCACTAATGTAATAGTGATATGACATTAATAAAAAATTCTTTATAATTATTAAACATAAATATATTATATTATTCACAAATAATGGAATTAATGAAACATTATAATACCAAGTGCTCGTTTGTTTCTGAAATCAGCCAAAAGATCTTTAAGTTCTTTCTTTGCATTTGTTCTGGCTTTTCTAAAAACTGCACGAATCACTTCTTCTTTCTCTAGTTGATGTTGCAAAACATCATCTGTAAAATTACGTAAGTAATGAAAAAAATTTATTTCACATTCTAGTATCAATAAGTTACTGAAGTTTAACTACACTAAAAATAATGTCATAATAATAAGAGAGGTGTTATTAGAACATTTCCAAACACAAAATAACTTTAACTACAACTCTAGTACTAGCGATTAAGTGAATCTAACCTTCTTCAAGACAGAATCCAACAGAGAAGAACAGAACTTTTTAATAACAACTGTTTTATCATTTTGATGTTATTTTATAATTTGTGTGGTGTAATGTACTGTACACCACTTATACTATCAAGTTTATTTAAATTTACAGATAAATAAAACAAAATTACATAAAATAATTTAAAATGAAATTATTACTACAACTCTAGTACTAGCGATTAAGTGAATCTAACCTTCTTCAAGACAGAATCCAACAGAGAAGAACAGAACTTTTTAATAACAACTGTTTTATCATTTTGATGTTATTTTATAATTTGTGTGGTGTAATGTACTGTACACCACTTATACTATCAAGTTTATTTAAATTTACAGATAAATAAAACAAAATTACATAAAATAATTTAAAATGAAATTATTACATAAAACATAGTAGTAGTGCACATGAAAATTCCCATTCAATTTATAGAACTTTTTAGATATCTAATTATAAAATACATTAAACTATCATCAGTAGCTATCACACTACTAGACATTAGAAAGCATTTTAGTTACATTAATACACAATTATTTGAAATTATAATAAAAATATATTCAAATCAACATTTCAAAAAAACAAAATATATTTAAATTTTATGAAATCATTAAAGAAATATAAAAATAATATAATGTTTTATCAAACAAAATTTATTTTCAGAAATAAATGTTTGCATGAATGAAATGGTTGCAGAAATGAATCTATATTCTTTCTTAAGTTTTAGATTTGAATAACTAATTAAAACAAAGACAGATTTTTATTTATATATTTTTTAAAAATTGAACATACGCATAGCAATCTGAATCATCACTAAAAAATTTATTCCAATGTACTATCTGAATAAATTTTGAAAGGGTTGACTTCTTAGGCAAATTATGAAACATGTATGACCCTTTAACAATTTTATTGTAAAATGACTTAAATATACAAACTTAATTTGTTAAATTCATAATTTTTCTATAATTAAAATTGCAGCATCAAGCCAACTGTTTATTTTTCAGATGTAAGCAATCATAGCAGGGTTGCAAACCCTGGTGGTGAGAGCAAACCACCAAATCTTGATCGAGATAACAGAATTATTGTGTCTTTCTTTAAATTTGAAGTAAAAGTGTATAAAATCCATCTCATAAATAAAGCGTTGACAAATATATATCACACTAACCTTATATGGAAGACAAGTGGAGAGAAATAAAAAAAATAGTGGATATTGCTGAAAACCATGGCTATAACAAAGGTTGGTATATAAAATGGCAGACAAGCAAAAAAACCTACTTGGGGATCAATCAAGTAGGGCTCTAGAAAATAGTCTGCAGTGGGATGTGTCTCCCTATCGTATTACTATAACATATGAGCACCATATGCAGTCCCTATATTGAGAGACTGGGATGTATAATAATTCAATAATATCCTACAGATGTAAGCCGGATGTATTCAGCATGCTAAGGAATGAGAAAGATTCAATAGAGATCTTGTATACATCAGATCTACATGAAGATCTCTCAAACAACACCTCTGTGAGCATAAAACCAATATTGAAAAGAAGAAAAACATTACTGTCTTAGCTATATATGCCAGTGAAAACAGCATTACACCCGAATTAAAGCAAGCAACCATAATCTGGCAAACTCATCATATACACCAACTTAGGAATTTGGAGGCATTAGAAATTTTTAAGTGGAATTCCAAAACCTTTCAATCAATTTTAAAGGTGAAAAACAACTCTCAAGGGTGTGGCAGGCTACATATGACCTGGAGTTATAGCAGCCAACACAGGCACACATCGTTAAGAATTCAAAATTTAAAAGGAAAATTTGAAAGGAAATTAGAACACATTGGAAATGGAATAGAATGGAATTGCACCAGAAAAGGTTTTCTCTAATAGAGCTCCACCTGAAGAAGGTCCTAGGGTGGGCCAAAAACATTTGTAATATGTTAAAAAATATTTGCAAAGCTTTATAAGGTTAGAGTGATACAGTAGAGCGTCATTTATCTGAAAGTCAATTATCCAAAACGTCAATTATCTGAAAGAATTCCAGTCGGCAAATTTAAATTTTCACCAGTGCTGTGGTGCTGCAATCTTTGGCTATGTCTTGGGCTACTCAAATATTTTACGTTTTTGATACTAAATTAACTTCTGAAGTATAATTTTTTATTGTTTTTATATTTTTCAATATATTTATTTTGTTTGTACAAAATAAAAAAAAATAATTTTTTAATGATACAGTAGTCTTTGTTAGACTTAACATTGACGAAAATTCAACACAAAGCAACACGCAATGGAGAAAAATTTCAACATAGGATAGGTTAATATATTTTTTCATACATAATCAGTTATCCGAAATATCGATTTTCTGAACAACCCCAGTCTCCAATTGATTCAGATAAACGACGTTCTACTGTATATGTAAAAGTGTATGTTGAAAACAGAGGTGTCTCAATAGGGAGTCCCATGGCATGCCTATTATGTGAGTTCATACTCAGGGATTTGAAGAAGTCTCATCTCCAAAATACAGAGTAATATACTATATACTACACTGTAAATGTTACATATGACATACTAATTATGTGCAAAACCAGACATAAGAAGTTTGTCAATATAATCAACAATAATCATTACAGATTAAAAACAGCACTGGACCAATTCAGTGACACCAGGGCATACTTCCTAGACCTAGACATCAAGTTTAAAAATGGTAAAGGACACACAAGTGTATATGTAAAACCAATACTTCATCTTCTATATATCCCCAGCTGCTTGAACAATCCATCCTGGTACAAAATGGTAGCTTTCAGAGTCATCATTACAAGAGCTCTGCACCAACATAAAGAGAAGCCCTGAAGAGATCAAAAGCATAGCAGTGCATGGATTCAACCAACACATCAACAATATTTTAATTAATGCATACACCTCAAGAAGGAAAGACCCTCACAGCTGCAGCAGTGAGATACAACAACAGATTGCTGGATAACACTTTCCATAAGATTGGGGAATAGGCAATTACTACATAAATGCAAAAGCACTGTTTATAGTGTACTGCATAATGATAAAGACCTGTCAATCCTTGTACAGCCCCTGGTATTTATGAAATATCCTTCACCCTAAGTCTGAAAAACTGTGTTAACAAATATATTGGTTTCACATCACAAAATCTTCTCACAGCTCAAAGAACATCAATATGATGTACATAAAGTAAAATGCACCAAACTTGTTTTTGATTGTTAGATGATTTTTCTAGTGGCTTGGTCCCTGACAGTTTTCAGGAGTTATGTGTCTTCAAAGGAACTGTGGTCATGACTTTAGCTATTATGACCACAAAACTCCTAAAAACTGCCAGGGACTAAGTCATTAGAAAAATCATCTAAAAAATTAAAACACCCAAGTTATAGATCTATACATATATTTATAATGTAATTCAGTTTTTATAGAAAAACAGAAATAATATTTTCCTTTCATCTTTGAACAAACTTAAACTGTAAAAAGTTAGCAATAATAATAATAATAATAATTCACAAGCAAGCATAAACTGCTATAATTTTTTACATGCACAAAAATTCTTACCATCATAACAACAAGAATAAAGTTATTTGAAAACAAACTATAGAATAGGATAAAGCACAGCAATGCAAAGATAAATAAATATACTAAATAATAACTATAATAAATTTAAATTTAATTTCAAATAATAAACTTTTATAGGAAAATAATTAAAAATATCATATTTCTATAAAAACAAATATTAAATTAAGTTCAATTTCAAAATAATAACATACTCACCTATCTCATTTAATATAGCTTCGTCTATATTTTTTATTCTCAAAGGCTATAAAAATTAAAATTTAATTTATTTTTAATAATAAAATGTATCATGGTGTTCAAGTAAAATTATATGATTTTCTATTACTTAATTATAAATCAATTATTATTATTATTTTTAACAAAAAAATCATTCAGTAAATAAAATTATAATCTAAACTCTGATGTATAATAACCTAAAATTCTAATATTTTCATGATAAAACTGCAAATGTATTAAAAAATGTCTCTAAATTTTTCTGACAGTTTTTATATGATTTTATGTTTTTACTTTATATATCGGTAATGCATAAAGTCCTATATTACAGAAAATCCATTTCAAAGAAAAAATAAAAATAATCCCAGTATAAATCTGCTTTTATAATTTAATATCTAAATCTAAGTAATGTTTCTAGAAATAAATTCCTGTGTACTAATAAAAAAATAGTTTTTTATTAGTAGTAAAAACTATATTAAATTCTTAAATAATTAATAAACATGTTTATAATTTCAACAATAAAATCAATACAAACTTTGAATAATTTCATAATTTTTTAGTACCCGAAATAACATATTATACAATATATGCTTTTTAATTTCAAAAAGTTTAGTTTGTGTTTTTAATTAAAACAAAAAAAAGAGGCTATAATTTATGAATATTTTTTTTAGTTTTATCATTTTCAAAACAATTAATATTCTCATTTCAAAAGCTGTAAGTTTTTTATAATTTTAAAATATTTCAATTTTAAATGTTTGGTTAGATTTTAGATACATATACTGTCATGGCACCATCCAGACTGTTCATACATAAGACTGACTCCTCCCAGAGGGGAGCTGCCGGCAGGCCACCTTGTGCCAAACGTTACTAGTTATTGATTCATGGTAGTTATTGATTTACGATAGTTATTGATTTATGGTTGTTCTTGAACACATGTATCAATAACTATCAATAGTATGAAGTGTCGCCATGACAGTATACGTATCTAAAATTTGACCAAATGTTTTTTAATTTAACTGTTCTCTTTCATTCAATTACGTGTGTTTAAAATAATGTTAAGTTTTAAATTTATTTTTTCTTTGAACTAGAATAAGATATATTTTTTATTAGAATTCTGCTATTTTCTTCTTCTTAGCTTATATCATAAATTATATTTAAAAAATCATTTTAAATATTTTTAAAATTTAATTTAATAGTATGTACTATCAATATTAAAAGACTTACTGCTCCTGGTAACAAAAAACTTGAATGAATTTCATAAGCCCATTTTTTCATTTCTTTTAATGTTCCTTGTTCATATATATCTGATATTACATAGAAAAACTGCAAAAGAATTTTATCAGATTAAAAGTTTCTATTTTTATTTAATGTAAAATTAAAAACATAATTTTATAATTAACAATTTAGTTTTTAATTATAAATTATTACATTACTTATAATACTTACCAAACCAGAAGGATCATTATTTGACATTAAATAATGAATAAAAACTGCCAAATGAGCTGGATTTTGCATCAAACTCCACATGCTTTTAAAAGGACCATGATCTTCAACCTGTCCCTAAACAAATATTATCATATACAATTACTAAATTTTACTAGTTAAAAGCTTAAAAAATGCTGCTAAATACTGTATATCTGCCAGATAAGACGACGTTCAGATAATAAGACGAGATATAAATTTTCAGATTATCAAAAACATAAATTTTTATTGAAGTTTTATAGTTTTAGCATATATCTGTCTTATAAGACGACTCCCAAACTATCAGCAATGTATGAATTTAGTTTATCTATCATCATCTGGATAATAACACTGTTTAGCATATACAGAATTATGTCCAATTCATAATTTTTCGAATAAACAAATTTTATTTTCTTGCATCTGGAAGCACTACCTTGCTATCATTGCAAACATTTGCACTGATTCTGGCATTCGGGTGATCTTGACTGTTCACAAAAAACATTGTATGGGCTATTCTATTTTGTGGACATACCCTACTCTCTACTAGTAAATAATTACAGTTTGTCTGCTTTTTATAATGGTTTTAATTTATATAAATTTCATCTAATTTTTTTTTTTGTATCTGTCCTAAAAGACGACCCTGGACTTTGGAGACCTTTTTTATGATTCAACTACCATCTTATCTGTGTAGATATACAGTAATATGAATTTAAAAATATAAATAAATATTGAAATAAAAAAATACTTAATATTTTTCATAATTTTTGTTAGATATCAAAACTTCAGTTAAAAGTCAATTTCACAGTAATTTCAGAAGTACAGTAGAGCATCAATTATTCGACCCCCGATTAACCGTCACATCGGTTAACTGACCGTTCTAGTGGGCAAATTTAAAATGTCCGCTAGTGATGTGGAACTACAATATTTGGCTATGTCTTGGCTACTTTAATATTATTTTTGTTAAATTTTTGCGTGTTTTAGCTGGCAACTCTGGCTCGACCATTGAAGGGAGGCCAGTATTTAAACTAGACTTAATTTTCTAATTATGAGTGGTTGTTTGTTTTGTGAGCAATAAAATAATTTAAAAATAATTTTTAATGATACAATAGTGACAATTATTAAAAAAAAAAAATTTGTTAGGCTTAACATCAATGAAAATTCAACACGAAGTTGGTTAATAGCTATAAACTAATATACTAATTACATGGGATATACTAATATACTATACTAATAATGTATTTTTTTCATTTTTTTCGGTTATCCAATTTTTCAGTTATCCGACCAACCTGAGTCCCCAATTGAGTTGGATAATCGATGCTCTACTGTAAAATAATATTTTCCTATAAATTGTTTCTTATTATGAATTCTATAACAAAAACCCAATCAAATTGAGCAACAATCCAAATTTCTGGCTTTAAATCTGGAAAATTGGCATCAGAAAGAAAATCCAACAGCAAAAGTTATGCTGAAGCTTCTTATGATGAGTATCCAAAGTATAAAAGGTAATGTTAGGTCATATCCTACAAACAATGTGCAGACTTATCACCTGGTGGCTGAGAAATGGTCACAGGCTAATACATTATAAAGAGCAAGTGCAGCTAAAGAAGCAAGCTCTCATAAGAAAAATGATAAGTATGGTAACCTGTAGGTAACCTTAAAGAAAGAGAAGAAATTGCAAACCTCACGAGAAAATAAATATTAGACATAAAATATACTCAAGAAACTAGAAGGAAAAGTAACTAGATAGTTATAAAATTGCTACAGTGAAGCTGACAAGCAAAGAAGAAACAGAATCGGTGTTATCTTATTAAAAGAAAACACTGATTCTATTTAAAAATAATAATAATAATAATAAAGAACTGTGTAATAGAGGTATGTCTCAGAGTAGATAGATTAATCAGAATTAAACTAGACTGTGGAATAGAACTAAATGTGATTAGTGAGCATATTCACTAATCACATTTAGTTGAGTGCAGAAATGATGAAAAAGGTGATTTCTGGAATATGATGGAGAACCAGATACAAGTATTACAGGAAATCCTCGTTAGTTTGAAATTCAAGGGTCCAAATTTGCAATCCAGAAACCTAGCTGTATTTTATAAGATAAGAAGAAAAAGGGTAGACAGTGGGTAAGGTGACATCCGAAAATGTGTTACTGTAAAAGCAGAGCCATGTTGATCAAATATGAGTTAATCTTGATCTATTGTTCTTTTATAGTATGGAGACATCACAATCTAAACAACAAGTTAATGTACCTATATCACAGTTCAGACAAAATGTTCACTTTGAATTTTGAAGTAGCCATATTTCAAACTAACTGAATTCCTTAACATGTAAATCTCTATTTCTCCAGCCAGAACAAAAGTACAATTATGAACTAATGGGATTTCAAACTCCAAGTTAGATTTAACAAGGATTTCCTGTAGCAGAAGCAGAAAGAATAATGATAGAAGATGAACTGAATAGACATTACGGAAGTTTCAATAAAGATCTTGAAATGATCCATGAAAAATATTGAATTGAACAGGTAACACCAAAACATGAAGAAATTATAGATTTTGTAGTAGCATCAGACATGGCTATAGAAAATTCTTTCTTCAAAAAGAAAAGAAAACACCACCTCATACACAAAAATAATCATGCTTGATCACATCTTGACTATCCTTTACAAAAGAAAGAATTTCAAAAAAGTGATACCAAGTAATCATGTAGTAGCACAACACCAATTAATCTGTATAGACATAAAAAAAAATTACAGTATTGAAAACAAGATGATGATGTTTAATTAAGGAAGATTAAATTGTTTAAATTAAAAGAGAATAACTGAAAAATGGTTATTAAGTAAGCTGTTGTAACCATTAGATATGGACTAATCACACATCACAAAAATTTTTATTAATAACTACTTCAAATCCAGTATGAATTTCAGCCTTTCAGTATGCACGTAGTTAATAAAGATCTTTGTGATGTGTGATTAGTCCATATTTAATTGTTACAATAGCTGCCTTAATAATTATATAAACATATACACAGTAAAATGTAGACCAGTTATGAACTAACTTGAAAATATTTCAGTGAATATAAACTTTGCTGACTTCTTAATAAGTATCAGTTATAAATAATTAATTTATATTAGTAAACTTTTTTAAAATAATCTTTTCATAATACAGTAAATAGATAAAAATTACCATTTCAGTATCAGAAGGGAAATCATCATCTTCCATGCCAATTATGTAAGGTTGCTGACCACTCCAACGTACACTTGATCCATGAGTGTTATTCCCTGATTGCATGTCTGGAGATATATGCTTTAAAAAAAAAAAAAAAAAAAGGAAATTAAACACATTATCTTGAATATTATAATAATTAAATTAACAATATTAATTAATTACACAATAGTTATTATTTATTTTCTTCAGTAAAATAACTGATACATCGTTTTATATGAACCAGTCTCCCACAAACAGTAACAAGATATAAATTAAATTTAAATAAAATAAATTATAAAACAACATGAATACTAATTTTTATTAAAATTAAAGACAAAGTCTGCCCAAAAGAGACCACCATTTATTTCTTGTGTTCTATACTACACATTTCGGGCAGACTTTGTCTTTAATTTTAATAATAATAATCTCCATTGGACGAAAAAATTTACAAAACTAATTTTTATATTTTACACAGAATTAAAAGTTTACTAAATCTGCAAAATACCTATTAACTTTACCAAAATAAAGTGAAACCTCCATAACTAATTATTGCCTCCAGATTAATGAAAATACTTTCAATTGGTAACAAGCTTTTATAGAATTATTATTATTATTTAAATGATCATTTCATAGATACATTACTGCTCATAAATGTAAAAAAAATTAAAATATTAATGAGGATGAGCAACCTTTTCTAGATGTAGGCCACATGTAAACTTTTTTTCCTTACAGAGTTATTTTTTCATTGAGCATGCTGACTACCAACATACTCCAAACCGCCAGTACAGAAGATACTAAAATAATATATGCTAATGATATGCAAACTAGTAATGTATTAATTTATTCTCATCTTTTTAATGGTCAAGTTTAGTTTAAATGTTCTCTGTTATGAATATCAACTCGATTAGAATTGCATAATGGCATGAAGCAGAAAACAGGAAAATAAAATAACATTGCCAAAACTTGGGGCTGGATATTATAATCTCACATGTCACATACAACCCAGTAGCCACAGATTGCTCTTCATTGAGTTAAAATAACAAAATAAAGAAAGAAAAAATTTTAAATAAGTCTTCAATATTTTAAAATAAGTTTTTTATTATTTTTATATGCATTTATTATCTTATCAATAAAACACAGATACAGAAAAACCACTACTAATTCAGTTATTAAAATACTAAATACGAGTATTTAGTAATTACTAAACCTTAACAAATTATTATTTAGCTTTTCTTACTGATAGAAGAACCTAACATTATATATCTGTCTGAAGTGCTATCTGTTAATAATTTTGACCATAAGATAACTTATATTAATTAATGCTTAGACAATGATAATACATTCAATTAAACAGATGATGGGCCAATAACACACTCTTACCAAAAATTGCCATTTAAAGAAATAATTAGTAAAATTTTCAATACAGTAGAGCGTAGATTATCCGAATCAATTTCGGACTGGGGTTCGGAAGATCGATGTTTCAGATAACCGATTATGTACGAAAAAATATATTAATTTATCCCATCTTGACATTTTTCTCTGTTGCGTGTTGCTTTGTGTTGAATTTTCATTGATGTTAAGCCTAACGAAGACTATTGTATCGTTAAAAATTATTTTTTTATTTTATACGAACAAAATATATTGAAAAATATAAAAACAATAAAAAATTATACTTCAGAAGTTAATTTAGTATCAAAAACGTAAAATATTTGAGTAGCCCAAGACATAGCCAAAGATTGCAGCGCCACAGCACTGGCGAAAATTTAAATTTGCCGACTGGAATTCTTTCAGATGATTGACTTTCAGATAATCAACGCTCTACTGTAATTTGTTTACATTATCACATTCTACATCTACATCTTTCATATAAAAATATGATTAATGTTAAGATTAATTTAATATATTTAAAACAAATGTAAGCATATTTTTCATTTTAATGGGTATTCTTACTGCTTGACTAGGAGATGATAATGGTGTTGACAACTTCTGATCTGGAAGAAGTGGTTTATTATCGGAAACATTAAATTCTGATCCTTCAGCCATTTCTTCTGAACCAATAGATGATTCAATAAAATTTTCCTGCAAAAATTAATTTAACTCAATAAATAAAATGACACTGTTGATTTATATATGAAAAATATTTAAATAAAAACTTATAAATGTTTTAATTCATTACAATAAGACCCTATATAAATCTTTTAGATTTTAAAAACATTTTTAACTCAAATAGATATTCAATTTATAAAGTTCAATGAAAAAATAAACAAAAAGAAGTGTGCATGATGTGTAAAAATATACTAATTATGTCAATAAAAAATAAATTTTCTATTTAGGCAAAAATTTTTCTTCAAATTTTCACTTTTAAACTTTAAAAACTCTAGAATTCTAGTAATAAATATATAAAGAAATTACATACATATAATTTCTTTTTTTAAAAATAAAGATTTTGTTAACTTTGATTTAAATATCAAAAACTTAATTATTTCTATTAACTAAATGCTGTTTCTGAATAACACAATTTTAATCCTTAATTGAGAATATGTTTTATGTAAAAAGCAAAGGTTTGTTACACATTTCCTGAATCAAAATTCAATGTTATACTGTTGTGTTAGAACTATTAAATGTGATGTTAAACAGAACATTATTGGTAAAGGTAAACAAGAAAGGGTTACTAATATTAAAAAATCAATGAAATCAATATTAATTAATTACACAATAGTTATTATTTATTTTCTTCAGTAAAATAACTGATACATCGTTTTATATGAACCAGTCTCCCACAAACAGTAACAAGATATAAATTAAATTTAAATATAATATTAGAATTTATTCCAGCAATGTCGAGATGACGATAAAAGAGAGCTAGTGGCCATCTCTTTAATTCGGGATGTGATGAAGGATGAACACATCTGATCTACAGTGTCTACACCACCTTTAATAGAATTGTAGTCCAAATTTATCACAGCTTTGTTAGTTTCATGANCGCGAAGTAGGTTAATAGCTATAAACTAATATACTAATTACATGGGATATACTAATATACTATACTAATAATGTATTTTTTTCATTTTTTTTGGTTATCCAATTTTTCAGTTATCCGACCAACCTGAGTCCCCAATTGAGTTGGATAATCGATGCTCTACTGTAAAATAATATTTTCCTATAAATTGTTTCTTATTATGAATTCTATAACAAAAACCCAATCAAATTGAGCAACAATCCAAATTTCTGGCTTTAAATCTGGAAAATTGGCATCAGAAAGAAAATCCAACAGCAAAAGTTATGCTGAAGCTTCTTATGATGAGTATCCAAAGTATAAAAGGTAATGTTAGGTCATATCCTACAAACAATGTGCAGACTTATCACCTGGTGGCTGAGAAATGGTCACAGGCTAATACATTATAAAGAGCAAGTGCAGCTAAAGAAGCAAGCTCTCATAAGAAAAATGATAAGTATGGTAACCTGTAGGTAACCTTAAAGAAAGAGAAGAAATTGCAAACCTCACGAGAAAATAAATATTAGACATAAAATATACTCAAGAAACTAGAAGGAAAAGTAACTAGATAAGACTGACTCATCCCAGAGGGGAGCTGCCGGCAGGCCACCTTGTGCCAAACGTTATTGATTTACGATAGTTATTGATTTATGGTTGTTCTTGAACACATGTATCAATAACTATCAATAGTATGAAGTGTCGCCATGACAGTATACGTATCTAAAATTTGACCAAATGTTTTTAATTTAACTGTTCTCTTTCATTCAATTACGTGTGTTTAAAATAATGTTAAGTTTTAAATTTATTTTTTCTTTGAACTAGAATAAGATATATTTTTTATTAGAATTCTGCTATTTTCTTCTTCTTAGCTTATATCATAAATTATATTTAAAAAATCATTTTAAATATTTTTAAAATTTAATTTAATAGTATGTACTATCAATATTAAAAGACTTACTGCTCCTGGTAACAAAAAACTTGAATGAATTTCATAAGCCCATTTTTTCATTTCTTTTAATGTTCCTTGTTCATATATATCTGATATTACATAGAAAAACTGCAAAAGAATTTTATCAGATTAAAAGTTTCTATTTTTATTTAATGTAAAATTAAAAACATAATTTTATAATTAACAATTTAGTTTTTAATTATAAATTATTACATTACTTATAATACTTACCAAACCAGAAGGATCATTATTTGACATTAAATAATGAATAAAAACTGCCAAATGAGCTGGATTTTGCATCAAACTCCACATGCTTTTAAAAGGACCATGATCTTCAACCTGTCCCTAAACAAATATTATCATATACAATTACTAAATTTTACTAGTTAAAAGCTAAAAAAATGCTGCTAAATACTGTATATCTGCCAGATAAGACGACGTTCAGATAATAAGACGAGATATAAATTTTCAGATTATCAAAAACATAAATTTTTATTGAAGTTTTATAGTTTTAGCATATATCTGTCTTATAAGACGACTCCCAAACTATCAGCAATGTATGAATTTAGTTTATCTATCATCATCTGGATAATAACACTGTTTAGCATATACAGAATTATGTCCAATTCATAATTTTTCGAATGAACAAATTTTATTTTCTTGCATCTGGAAGCACTACCTTGCTATCATTGCAAACATTTGCACTGATTCTGGCATTCGGGTGATCTTGACTGTTCACAAAAAACATTGTATGGGCTATTCTATTTTGTGGACATACCCTACTCTCTACTAGTAAATAATTACAGTTTGTCTGCTTTTTATAATGGTTTTAATTTATATAAATTTCATCTAATTTTTTTTTTTGTATCTGTCCTAAAAGACGACCCTGGACTTTGGAGACCTTTTTTATGATTCAACTACCATCTTATCTGTGTAGATATACAGTAATATGAATTTAAAAATATAAATAAATATTGAAATAAAAAAATACTTAATATTTTTCATAATTTTTGTTAGATATCAAAACTTCAGTTAAAAGTCAATTTCACAGTAATTTCAGAAGTACAGTAGAGCATCAATTATTCGACCCCCGATTAACCGTCACATCGGTTAACTGACCGTTCTAGTGGGCAAATTTAAAATGTCCGCTAGTGATGTGGAACTACAATATTTGGCTATGTCTTGGCTACTTTAATATTATTTTTGTTAAATTTTTGCGTGTTTTAGCTGGCAACTCTGGCTCGACCATTGAAGGGAGGCCAGTATTTAAACTAGACTTAATTTTCTAATTATGAGTGGTTGTTTGTTTTGTGAGCAATAAAATAATTTAAAAATAATTTTTAATGATACAATAGTGACAATTATTAAAAAAAAAAAATTTGTTAGGCTTAACATCAATGAAAATTCAACACGAAGTTGGTTAATAGCTATAAACTAATATACTAATTACATGGGATATACTAATATACTATACTAATAATGTATTTTTTTCATTTTTTTCGGTTATCCAATTTTTCAGTTATCCGACCAACCTGAGTCCCCAATTGAGTTGGATAATCGATGCTCTACTGTAAAATAATATTTTCCTATAAATTGTTTCTTATTATGAATTCTATAACAAAAACCCAATCAAATTGAGCAACAATCCAAATTTCTGGCTTTAAATCTGGAAAATTGGCATCAGAAAGAAAATCCAACAGCAAAAGTTATGCTGAAGCTTCTTATGATGAGTATCCAAAGTATAAAAGGTAATGTTAGGTCATATCCTACAAACAATGTGCAGACTTATCACCTGGTGGCTGAGAAATGGTCACAGGCTAATACATTATAAAGAGCAAGTGCAGCTAAAGAAGCAAGCTCTCATAAGAAAAATGATAAGTATGGTAACCTGTAGGTAACCTTAAAGAAAGAGAAGAAATTGCAAACCTCACGAGAAAATAAATATTAGACATAAAATATACTCAAGAAACTAGAAGGAAAAGTAACTAGATAGTTATAAAATTGCTACAGTGAAGCTGACAAGCAAAGAAGAAACAGAATCGGTGTTATCTTATTAAAAGAAAACACTGATTCTATTTAAAAATAATAATAAAGAACTGTGTAATAGAGGTATGTCTCAGAGTAGATAGATTAATCAGAATTAAACTAGACTGTGGAATAGAACTAAATGTGATTAGTGAGCATATTCACTAATCACATTTAGTTGAGTGCAGAAATGATGAAAAAGGTGATTTCTGGAATATGATGGAGAACCAGATACAAGTATTACAGGAAATCCTCGTTAGTTTGAAATTCAAGGGTCCAAATTTGCAATCCAGAAACCTAGCTGTATTTTATAAGATAAGAAGAAAAAGGGTAGACAGTGGGTAAGGTGACATCCGAAAATGTGTTACTGTAAAAGCAGAGCCATGTTGATCAAATATGAGTTAATCTTGATCTATTGTTCTTTTATAGTATGGAGACATCACAATCTAAACAACAAGTTAATGTACCTATATCACAGTTCAGACAAAATGTTCACTTTGAATTTTGAAGTAGCCATATTTCAAACTAACTGAATTCCTTAACATGTAAATCTCTATTTCTCCAGCCAGAACAAAAGTACAATTATGAACTAATGGGATTTCAAACTCCAAGTTAGATTTAACAAGGATTTCCTGTAGCAGAAGCAGAAAGAATAATGATAGAAGATGAACTGAATAGACATTACAAAAGTTTCAATAAAGATCTTGAAATGATCCATAAAAAATATTGAATTGAACAGGTAACACCAAAACATGAAGAAATTATAGATTTTGTAGTAGCATCAGACATGGCTATAGAAAATTCTTTCTTCAAAAAGAAAAGAAAACACCACCTCATACACAAAAATAATCACGCTTGATCACATCTTGACTATCCTTTACAAAAGAAAGAATTTCAAAAAAGTGATACGAAGTAATCATGTAGTAGCACAACACCAATTAATCTGTGTAGACATAAAAAAAAATTACAGTATTGAAAACAAGATGATGATGTTTAATTAAGGAAGATTAAATTGTTCAAATTAAAAGAGAATAACTGAAAAATGGTTATTAAGTAAGCTGTTGTAACCATTAGATATGGACTAATCACACATCACAAAAATTTTTATTAATAACTACTTCAAATCCAGTATGAATTTCAGCCTTTCAGTATGCACGTAGTTAATAAAGATCTTTGTGATGTGTGATTAGTCCATATTTAATTGTTACAATAGCTGCCTTAATAATTATATAAACATATACACAGTAAAATGTAGACCAGTTATGAACTAACTTGAAAATATTTCAGTGAATATAAACTTTGCTGACTTCTTAATAAGTATCAGTTATAAATAATTAATTTATATTAGTAAACTTTTTTAAAATAATCTTTTCATAATACAGTAAATAGATAAAAATTACCATTTCAGTATCAGAAGGGAAATCATCATCTTCCATGCCAATTATGTAAGGTTGCTGACCACTCCAACGTACACTTGATCCATGAGTGTTATTCCCTGATTGCATGTCTGGAGATATATGCTTTAAAAAAAAAAAAAAGGAAATTAAACACATTATCTTGAATATTATAATAATTAAATTAACAATATTAATTAATTACACAATAGTTATTATTTATTTTCTTCAGTAAAATAACTGATACATCGTTTTATATGAACCAGTCTCCCACAAACAGTAACAAGATATAAATTAAATTTAAATAAAATAAATTATAAAACAACATGAATACTAATTTTTATTAAAATTAAAGACAAAGTCTGCCCAAAAGAGACCACCATTTATTTCTTGTGTTCTATACTACACATTTCGGGCAGACTTTGTCTTTAATTTTAATAATAATAATCTCCATTGGACGAAAAAATTTACAAAACTAATTTTTATATTTTACACAGAATTAAAAGTTTACTAAATCTGCAAAATACCTATTAACTTTACCAAAATAAAGTGAAACCTCCATAACTAATTATTGCCTCCAGATTAATGAAAATACTTTCAATTGGTAACAAGCTTTTATAGAATTATTATTATTATTTAAATGATCATTTCATAGATACATTACTGCTCATAAATGTAAAAAAAATTAAAATATTAATGAGGATGAGCAACCTTTTCTAGATGTAGGCCACATGTAAACTTTTTTTCCTTACAGAGTTATTTTTTCATTGAGCATGCTGACTACCAACATACTCCAAACCGCCAGTACAGAAGATACTAAAATAATATATGCTAATGATATGCAAACTAGTAATGTATTAATTTATTCTCATCTTTTTAATGGTCAAGTTTAGTTTAAATGTTCTCTGTTATGAATATCAACTCGATTAGAATTGCATAATGGCATGAAGCAGAAAACAGGAAAATAAAATAACATTGCCAAAACTTGGGGCTGGATATTATAATCTCACATGTCACATACAACCCAGTAGCCACAGGTTGCTCTTCATTGAGTTAAAATAACAAAATAAAGAAAGAAAAAATTTTAAATAAGTCTTCAATATTTTAAAATAAGTTTTTTATTATTTTTATATGCATTTATTATCTTATCAATAAAACACAGATACAGAAAAACACTACTAATTCAGTTATTAAAATACTAAATACGAGTATTTAGTAATTACTAAACCTTAACAAATTATTATTTAGCTTTTCTTACTGATAGAAGAACCTAACATTATATATCTGTCTGAAGTGCTATCTGTTAATAATTTTGACCATAAGATAACTTATATTAATTAATGCTTAGACAATGATAATACATTCAATTAAACAGATGATGGGCCAATAACACACTCTTACCAAAAATTGCCATTTAAAGAAATAATTAGTAAAATTTTCAATACAGTAGAGCGTAGATTATCCGAATCAATTTCGGACTGGGGTTCGGAAGATCGATGTTTCAGATAACCGATTATGTACGAAAAAATATATTAATTTATCCCATCTTGACATTTTTCTCTGTTGCGTGTTGCTTTGTGTTGAATTTTCATTGATGTTAAGCCTAACGAAGACTATTGTATCGTTAAAAATTATTTTTTTATTTTATACGAACAAAATATATTGAAAAATATAAAAACAATAAAAAATTATACTTCAGAAGTTAATTTAGTATCAAAAACGTAAAATATTTGAGTAGCCCAAGACATAGCCAAAGATTGCAGCGCCACAGCACTGGCGAAAATTTAAATTTGCCGACTGGAATTCTTTCAGATGATTGACTTTCAGATAATCAACGCTCTACTGTAATTTGTTTACATTATCACATTCTACATCTACATCTTTCATATAAAAATATGATTAATGTTAAGATTAATTTAATATATTTAAAACAAATGTAAGCATATTTTTCATTTTAATGGGTATTCTTACTGCTTGACTAGGAGATGATAATGGTGTTGACAACTTCTGATCTGGAAGAAGTGGTTTATTATCGGAAACATTAAAATCTGATCCTTCAGCCATTTCTTCTGAACCAATAGATGATTCAATAAAATTTTCCTGCAAAAATTAATTTAACTCAATAAATAAAATGACACTGTTGATTTATATATGAAAAATATTTAAATAAAAACTTATAAATGTTTTAATTCATTACAATAAGACCCTATATAAATCTTTTAGATTTTAAAAACATTTTTAACTCAAATAGATATTCAATTTATAAAGTTCAATGAAAAAATAAACAAAAAGAAGTGTGCATGATGTGTAAAAATATACTAATTATGTCAATAAAAAATAAATTTTCTATTTAGGCAAAAATTTTTCTTCAAATTTTCACTTTTAAACTTTAAAAACTCTAGAATTCTAGTAATAAATATATAAAGAAATTACATACATATAATTTCTTTTTTTAAAAATAAAGATTTTGTTAACTTTGATTTAAATATCAAAAACTTAATTATTTCTATTAACTAAATGCTGTTTCTGAATAACACAATTTTAATCCTTAATTGAGAATATGTTTTATGTAAAAAGCAAAGGTTTGTTACACATTTCCTGAATCAAAATTCAATGTTATACTGTTGTGTTAGAACTATTAAATGTGATGTTAAACAGAACATTATTGGTAAAGGTAAACAAGAAAGGGTTACTAATATTAAAAAATCAATGAAATTCAATTCTTTTATAATTGTAATCATATGCAAAATTTGAATTCAAACTCATTAAGTTTCAGACTAAATAGTAAATCCAAATACAAATGTTCAAACCCAGAAACTTCTGATCATTATCTCAGTAATAATTTATAATTTCTTAGTAAATGATATACAGCAGAGCATTGATTATATGAATACTGATCAACTGAAACTTCAGTTAACCGAAAGCGTTCCGATCAGCAAATTCAAATTTCCACCAGTGCTCTGACACTGCAGCATTCTCCCCCTCCCTGCCAACCTAAACTGTAGGCCTACTTTAATATACTACTTTATGTAAGGTAATGTATTTGTAAGACGTATGATACAAAATATAGACACTACAGTTTTATACAGTTTTATGTTTAATATATTTTTTCATAAATGATCAGTTATCTGAACAACCCCAGTCCCAAATTGTTTCGGATAATTAATGTTCTACTGTATTAAAATATGGCTTCCATTTATTGATACCTAGTTGAAAAATATTAGTAAAATATATAACATTTTAATTCAAAAATATTATTGTATTTAATATATAATTATTACTAGAAATTTAATGTTATTTTTAGTCAACAGTTTCATGTGTTAATTTTATAAACCAATTTCATAATTTTAATAAAGGATAAAAATCACCACCATGAACTATTACTTTTTTCTTATAACTACAGATATCCTATATCTTCCAAACTAATTTAAAATATTAAAAAAAATACTAACTTAACTGTGCAATATGTTTTTTCTTATATACAATAATATAAGAAATCCATCATTTTACTAACAGTCTCTTGTTCATTTTTATTTCATTTAATTAATTCTAAATTAGTATAGAATTAGGCTGAAAACATTTGTCTGTTTATTAAAAATTTCTGCTGGAAAAGAAGAAAAGGTTATTCTCTATTGTTTAAGTAGAGTTAGTTTCATATTAACATTGCATAAGTATGAAATTTAAAATATTAATAACTTTTATTAAAAACACAGCAATAAAGAAATATTCATTATATTAATATTTACTAAACTGATACTGAATAAATAAAATAGAAATTTATTATTCTATTAAAATGAACCAATCCCTACAATCCATAATGAATTTACTTTTACAATCATTATAAATCCCATAATGCATAAATTTAAATAAAGTTTAATTATAAATTTTCTTATACAGTGAAAAACTTATTGAAAAAATTATAAATCATGTATCAAGTTAAATATTTTAAAAATCCTTTTGTAAATATTATGTTTCATAAACTAAATTAAAACAGACTGTACATACTTCTTCAAAACATGTGTTGTCTTCTCCATTACAACCATCCTTATATTCTACGTTTTCTGAAGATGCATCTGGAGGAGGAGTTCCAGGAGGTGTATAATCAGCATGACTGACTGATCCCTGAAAATAAATATTTTTTAAAATGAAGAGTTAATAATTAATTTGAAAAGTTTATTTTAATTACTTCAAAATTTTCAGATCTCATTGTAAAAATGTTTTGAAATAACTACTCATAATGTAAAGTAATTAAAAATTTATAATATTCAATAATAATGAATCAATATTTATTTTAAGATGAATTCAAATGACTTTTAGAATCACATAAACTATATTAAAGGTTTAAAAAATTCTATGGTAGGTAAAAGGTATAAATTCTAACAGATGTTACAATAAAATCTGACAATTCAGACATTGGTTTGCATCAAAAGTTGATTTAAATTAACATAGAGACTTATAAGATTATCATTAAATTGAACAGAAAACGTACTCGGCAAATTAATAATAAAAAAAATCAACACCTTATCCGTTGCCGAGGGAGTTTATTTAAAAAACGAATGTTTTCGATGTACTTCATAGATCATCTTCAAGTTGAAAGTTTCTTTCAACTTGAGGGTTTCTTTCAACTTGAAGATGAGTTGAAAGTTTCTTTCAACTTGAAGATGATCTATGAAGCAGATCGAAAACGTTAATTTTTTAAATAAACTCCCTCGGTAACGGATAAGGTGTTGATTTTTTTGATTATCATTAAAATTTACTACAGATTCAAAAGATTGGTATATAGGCATTTCAAGGCATTTAATATAATACTTTTATCTAATGTTTTTAATGATGAATTATTATTAAATTTTTATACATTAAAAATAAATCCAATAGTAGAAAAGAAAATAATGATCATATTTTGAATTTTGGACTCTAACAGAATTACTTGGAAGACTAAAGAAATAATACTCAACCTCCAAATAATATACTCTCAATTTTGTTTTTATATAGTTTACAATGTTCAAAAATATTGTAGCTTCAAACTTTAAATTTGTATCCTGATAAATGACTTTTGTTGAAAATTTAACCTTCAAAAATTTAACTAAAAATAAAAATACCTGAGAAGTATTTTTGTTTTAGTTTTTTTCATATAAAACAGAATTTTTACTTGCTTGTCTTAGTAATCTAGAATTTTTTAAACCTTTAATATAATTTATGTAATTCTAAAAGTCATGTATAAAAACAAATTTCATTTTGTTACATACGTATATAAATGTATTATAAATGATTAGTTAAAAGTATCAATTTAGCAACTATCACAAAAAATCACTACAATACTGTATACTTCATTAATGAATTCATCATAGTGTCTTAAATTCATAGTACTATAAGAATGCATAAAATTATTATGTATAGATAATTAATACTACATAAAAAATAATTTTACAAAAAATATGTTTAAAAAATAAATACTTTTGACAAACGTGTTGATTTCCATCTTCTTCCAACTTCAAACTCATTGAAAGATTCAGATGCAGTACATTTTCGAGATGATAAATGTTGATTATTAATATTATAATTCTGAAATTCAGGTGATGATAATGGTGTTCTGTTAGATGGAATAAAGTCTTCTATATGATGAATTAATGTATCTGGATTGGAACTTTGCCGGGAATGATTTGAACCTTGTAATGGCTATAAAGTGATGTAATATAAATATGATTACTTAAAAAATATTTATTCAATTTTTAAATTTTTAAATACAAAATAATTAAAAATTAAAAGCTTGTACTTTTTATTAATGCTTTATTTATAAAAATCAACATTTAAATTTAAGATTCAACAAAGCTTTTAAGAATAATGTGACTTTCATTTTATTATTTATAATACAAAATAATCTTTCAAAAAATTAGCAGAATTAGTCAAAATTAGTCAGAATTGTATTTACTGTAATATTTAATTTTTCCAAATAGTGACTTCACATCTTTATGAGAAAAAATCTAATATTTTCAGACCTGATCTTCAATAATTTAAAAATTAAGCAAATTATGTTAAACAATTAACATAAAGCTAATAGAGTTAGTCCATTAAATTCAAGTAAATTATTCACCCAAGAAGAGCCTTTAGAAGATGCCTGTTTAGATATATTTTCCAAGGAACATGATAATGGCAATGATTTCTGGGCTTGATTTAAGACATGTCCATTTCCTTTTTTTGACTGAATTTCTGATGTTGAAACAGAATCATCTGGCATAGAACAAGATATGATATTCCATTCTGCTTTTGGTAGTGTTGGAGCTGAGATCTGATGAGAAAGTGATCTTGTATGCTGAGTAATTGGTGAATATCTTGAATTTTCTTTCTCAGAGTGAGTGTAACGTCGGACGGGAGGAGAACGAGGTGAACATGATGAGGGCTGAAATGTTACAACATGATCATTTTCATAAATATTTCAGCAAATAAATCACAATTTTAATCAAACTAACTATTTTAAATTATTAATATATCAAAAGATAAAATTTAAATGTTAATTATTATTGATATGACTTAAAAAATTTCAAAATTATTATTTTATGTCTAATGAAATAACATTTATCTAAGTGTAGAATTAAATATAACATATAATCCCTAGTTTGTAACAAATCGAAAATTTAATTAATATGAAATTATTACTTTTTATTATATATATTATTTTTAGATAAAGGACTTTAGTAGCCCCTCATTATATTGCACCTCGTTATATCATGCTTTTTATTTTGTCCTTGAAATTTTTAAAGCACTTGAGTTGATAAATTTTAAAATACTGATTGCCATTGAATTTTTACTTACAACAAAATACAGTATTTTTTCATACCACTGTCCTTGAAATTACCACTCAGTCAAAACAAGCAATAAATTTGACAAGGAGATGTAAACAAGCTGTTTTGCTTGTTTAGATCTCAAGTGGACAGATCAATTACCATTGGTGAACTAATGTGGTCACAGAAACTCTTGTTAAAACATTTAAAAAATTTGTTGAGACAGAAGAGTCGCATATGTGCTTTAAGACACTACAGTATAATATCATGGAATTAGTTAAAAAGGTTTTTTCATCATAAACAAATTTAAAAATTCTCTGATCCTTGAATCAACATGTCTTCATAACATGAATGTTTCCGTCAAATTGAAATTAGAACCTATCAATAAATAACAAAAGGAGCAAAGTGCGTTACAGTAGCAAAAGATTTGGACATTGGATCAGCAACTGTTTGTGGATGGTTTAAAAATGAAGCCAAACTTCAAAAATTTGTCGAAAATTTTGATGAATCTGAAGGATTCAATCAACATTTTCGACAAGCTGGAGAGGAAAAAAGCTAGACTGGCAAAAGAAGATGACTTAGATAAAACATTGTTTTTATGGTTTAAAGAACAAAGTGCAATGGGAACTCCATTATCAGGTCCAATTATTAAGGAGAAGGCAAAAATTTTAGCGAAATAATTGAAACCGGATAAAGAAACAGAATTCAAAGCAAGTGATGGATGGTTTTGGCAGTGGCAAAAGAGGCATGGAATACAACAAAATCAGATTCATGGAGAAAAACAATCTGCTGATCACAATGCAGCTTCCATGTCATCTCATGACTTGAAAACCAGATTGACTGATTTAGGTTTTGAAGATGAACAAATTTATAATGCTGACGAAGCTGCTCTTTACTAAAAATTTCTTCCTAAAGATTTTAAGAAGAATAAAATTAATACAGGATAAAAGAAGCAAAAAGAATGGTTTACAATACTTTTTGCAGCAAATAAAAGTCAAAGCAACAAATTAAACTTGACTTGTTGTGGGAAAGAGTCATAATCCTAGTCTTAAAAAATGTAAACAGAAAAACTTACCAGTAATTTATGATAGCTCAAAAAATGTGTGGATGAATCAAGCCCTATTCAAAAAATGGTTTTTTTTTTATCATTTTATTCTGTCAGTATATCTTCATTTACAAAACACAGGTTTAGAAGAAAAGGCTATGCTTTTGATTGATCAATGTCAAGCTCATCCAAAAGAGAGGCACTTTTGTCATTGGATAAGAAATCATAACAGTCTATCTTCCAAAAAACACAACAAGCCTCATTCAACCAACAGATCAAGGAATAACTGAAACTTTTAAGAACTACTGATGAAATTTGCTTTGCAAATTGCAACTCTGTGAAAATGATCCTTTGCCAATTGCATTGAATAAAACCAATTTAAAAGATGCAATGTACAGTACCTTTCCCAAAAAGCATGGGCAGAAGTAAAATCCTCTACCATTTCTAAATGTTGGATGAAGCTTTTAAATGATAATGTTAAATATAGTAGGCCCACAGAACAAAAAGAAGATTCAATACAGCATCTAGTGAAACCAGCAAAATCTCTAGGCATGAGTGATGCAGAAAATAAGCTTCAAGAATGGGTTCATGTTAATGACAACAAACCGAAATTTGAAACTCTCTCTGATTATCAGATTATTGCAGAGGTACAAGATAGAAAAAGCATAAATAATGAAAACAGCAATGAAAAAGACATACTGACATCCACTGTCATTAGTATAAAATAAGCTATAGAAGTGTCGGAGAAAATCTACACTGCATATAAACAATGCACTGCAGATTACATAATTGAATTGCAATTAGTGCATTTTCATACTTTAATTCCAAATGAATGACAAGCATTGAGAAAAAACAATCAACTTTGATTCCTTTTTTATCCAAAATCTGTCAACTTGTTAATGTGAGAAGCTAGGAAGAAGAGTATCAAACTCTAAACTAAACCGCTTTGATTAGCAAGATTTGCTCACTTTGTCACTGGATGACGTAATTTATAAATTGTCGTCAGGACTGTAAAATCCTTTCGATGTCAGGACCTGACACCAGTTAGGATAGTTTGATATGCTTCCTAACTTGTGAATAATTCAATATAATCAAATTTAATTATGCTCAATGTACTTTCTCACCACACCGGGTTGTATATACTCCAAATACACAATGATCTACAATTAACCAATAACTGGCGTGAAATCTTCAAAAAATCGGAAAATGTTTTTGATTCCCCTCCTGGGCTCTTCTTCAGGCTTATTTTATATCTTCTGTTATAACTGGATTCTTTAATTCAAATGTTTTTTAAAAATTTGAAACATGCCCTTTCCCAAAAAAATTCCAAAAGTGGAAATAGTTAATTATGTTCAAATAGGACGGGTCCATAGTTTGAGTGGGAGGATTAGTGAGGTCGCCAATACACAAGTAAGAACAACCATTTTAAAATTCAACAAGTTTAATGAAGCTAAAAGTTTACAAACACAAATCCAGGCACAAGGAATACAGTTCCCTCACTCTAGTACAAATCATTGGAGGGTGGTTTTTACTATCAAGCAAGTGTTATGCCTATCAATAACTATTTCCACCTGAGAAAGAGAGAGAGAGAGAGAGAGAGAGAGAGAGAGAGCATACATAAGATTGGGCATTTATCATACCTCTGTGAAGCAGGGGATGTAACCTCGTAGGTTAATTATCCAGAGAAAACCGGGGAGGTGCTTGGGATGACACATACGCCCTTCAGAAAATTATAGATAAATCCATAGGAACTTGCTCACATTGGAGGGTATGACACAAAGTAAAAAGTGAGCTCCTTGTAGAACGATCACCCAAAGATCAGGTACGCTTGCGTTATATCTGTATCCAGTGTGGGAATCTGATCAGGTGACCGTTTGTTTGGTAGTTATGACACATCAAAGATGTCATAGCTGGAGGATGAAAATTAAACAAAGTCGATTCAAAGGTTTAGTATTTCCTTCAATTGTTTTTAGATTTCTCCCATGGACTAATTTAAGTGTCAAGTTTCTCACACTTTACAATTGATTGTTTTAGCATATTTTCATTATTTTCATGGGTCGATGCGAAGGAGGAAAGAACTTGTAGCTTCAAATAATTGACTGTTGACAGTTAAGTCAACATTTGATATTATACCCGTTTTTAACTCCATGGGAAATGCATGGAAATAAGGAAGAGTTTCTAAAATGCATCTTTCATTAAAAATTATACAAAAACAGTCCCTGGATTCTCCTCACATTACTCCCAATTTTCTTTAAAATTGCACTAATAGTGAGATTTTACTGCTATAGATATGTTGCACAAGTATAAAAAAAAAAAAAATCTCTCTCTCGCTTGTATGAATAAAATCTAACATGAAAGAGAGAAAAAAGTGTGGTTACATAATTGCAAAATAAAAGAAAAACAATGATTGTTAAAAAATACATTGGTTACATATCAAGAAGTATAATTCTAAAAATACACCATTTTTAGAACAATTCAACAAATAAATAAAGAACTCGTTCTATTCCAACTTTGAGAGATCTGCAGGTGTAGTTTACAGAATATTATATACTGTACATGTCCACAACCAAAATGCTACTTAGGTGAAACAGGGAAAAACTGGAAAAACAACTTAAAGAACATGAGCCAGCCATACAACTAAAATGTAATGAATCTCCTTAGTACAAAACACTGCAATAATTTTAAATGTCAAATTAATAAAAATAATGTAAGAATTTTATATAAAGAAAAAATATAGTAAAAAGATGGATTATAGAACATTATTGTATAAAGAGTTATGCAACTGTAATAAATTTGAATACTGGCGTTCAGTGATGTGCTGTCATTGAAAGCGGTGGAAGTACCGCTTCCCTTGTATTTTCTAAAAAATAAATACATATTGCACAATTATTTTCATACTTTAACATATTTTGGATTAATTAAAATTAATATTTTATTATAACCACATTATGTATCTTATTACAAATTTATATACTACACGTGAAAAAAACAGTAAGATTGCTATTGCATATTCGAATATCAGTGGCAGAATGGAAACGCTGTATTATCGAAAGCAGGTCAGCTTCCAAACAGCCAGATTTTACGCATTTGCGCATGCGCTTTATAGAACACTAACCTCACGCAGTTTAGCTGGTGGAAGCTACACATGTAACGCTTCCAATGATTATATCCTGGACCAGTTCTGGGCTGTTAACCGCCAGCCTGCTAGATATTTGGCGCCTCATCCATTTATGTGAATCGTGAGTAATTTTTAACGTAACCCAACCAATAGAAATTTACTGGTATATTTTTATGATAGTTCTGTATAGTTGGCAGGAGTTTAAAAAATCCATTAAAATATTTGATATTTTTATTCTGCTCTCCCATCTTATATTACCTATGGATTTTGTATCATATTACAATTTTGTATGTCCCATCTATAAGGGGATGTAGAAAAAAATATGTACAATTCTTGTACAATGTTAAAAAATTAACTGTTACTTTGACAGCATCATTTACAACTAAATTTAATGAAAGAGAGAGATGCACAAGGTACGGAAAAGCTTTAGAATTTATTTTCCTTAAATTTACGAT